CATCCACTTGATGACCAAGCAAAATAAATGGTAGAATGTAAAATATATATTTCATGATTTTGTTTAAAGTTGGAAATAGGGAGAGTTGACCGTAGCCAGCAGTCAAAGTCAAGCCGAAGAGAGGACTACTTATACTTCATATTCAATGTGTACCTTAGGGGATAAGATTCCGCGGGATCTAACCGATCGAAGAGAATGGTTTGGAATCCTTGAAAACATGGATCTGTTTTAGGGGGCGACGCCTGAGCGAAGAATTTCGTAAGCACTAAAACAAGCGTACCTTCGTCACCAGTCCGAATCTAAACAACACACTGGTACACCAGTCCAGATATATTCATCACCAGTCCATATATATTAAACACTTGTGCGGGTATTTTCCTATCCAGTCGTACGATACTTGTCAGTGCATATTAAGATCTCTAAATGAAAAACAAAGTGAAGTAAACAAATTATGACATAGCCTTGATTGAGTAACATAACCACTAAATTTGTAATACATGACATCGTATGAACAAAAATGTGGTAATTAACCTCCCGGAGTTCGGACAGTAACCAAATATTCAGTTCTCTCCCGGAGTAGTTCATAACCATTACTAAAAATTTCAAAAAAAATGACATTAAACAAACATCACACCATTGAATGAAATATTACTCAAACCATTTCATAATATACATAGGAGTCCTCTGCACAACCTATTCGACGATTTATAAAACATAGTCTATAAGACAAGCTATTATAGTAAAGTTCAAGGAAATGAATAAATCTACAATGACCAGGTGTCAAGTATGGAGCTTTTCCTAAAGGCGATTTACATTCACTAACAAGGGATCCTAACCACGCCTCCTTGCCTGAACGCAATTGGGAGAAGAAGAAGAAGAAGCAGATAACGGTCAATTGCTGACTGTGTCAACTCTTCATGGACCGGATATGTACCTAGTCATGTGATACATCTTAGAACCGGAATTGGTCTGCACGTGACATGATAAAAATCCATCGATTTTTTAAACTTAAAATCATAATCTGTAATTCACCACTTTGGTGTATGCTACAAGTGGAGGATGTTGAATAGATTAATAACAAATGAAAGATTTAGTAGGATAATACACCAATATTTCGGTTCTTCGTGTTCTTCATCTCCCGTCACACTTCCTTCCAAAATAGCGGTTGCTCTTTCTGGAGGAGCAGATTCGATGTTATTAACCTGGCTATTGTCACAATATACATCATCTAATAAGAATAGCAAAGATTCAACTGAAATATATGCGATAACTATAGATCACAAATATAGACCGGAATCTACCGAGGAAGCATCCAGAATAAGTTCCATTGTCAAACCATGGGGTATTAATCATGTAATACGAAGTTTGGATTATGATGTTGAAGATGTGAAACAAATTGGTAATTTTGAAGAAGTGGCAAGAATGAAACGATATGATGAATTCAGAAATGTATGTCATTTATATGGTATTCCGGCATTATTCATTGGTCACCATGCTGACGATCAATTGGAAACTTTTATTCAACGATTACAAGGAAATAGTTCAATATATGGTTTAGCTGGAACGAGAAAGATTTCTAGACTTCCTGTAGCTGATTTACCACCTTCAGCCAAGCATGATCCCGTGTATGTTTTCAGACCTTTTTGGAATTTTGAGAAACAAGAAATTGTGAATACATGTAAACAGAACAATATTCAATATTTTGATGATCCAACTAATCAAGATATAAATCTAACTAGAAGGAATTATTTGCGTCATTTGATAAACGAAGTAATTCCTGAACGAATTCAATCACAAGGAGGAGACAAACAATCTCCATATTATTGCATACATAAATCCAACCTTAAGCAGACCCACCATTTAACCTACGAATTAGCAGAATCATTTGAAGAAAAAGCATATGAATTGAATGTTCTTTTGCAAAGCAAGAACCAAATAGTTACAAACCCTCCATTTGCGTCATTAAAGGTAACAATCCCTCGATGTTTATTCATAAATCCTAATGAAATAGTCTTGGCGAGGTTCTTTTATCAAATATTATACCCATTTTCGTCATCAAAGCATTATCATTGGGCATACGCAAAATTAGAAAGACAGTTCCTACCAAAAGTAATTTCCTACTTACAGAAGAATGAATCCGGTACTTTAAAGTTAACAATCATGAACTGTTGTATTGAAATCACAAATAATGTTCACACATCAGATATACCCATGTACATATATCGCTGTCCAATCACAACGAAAGAGATTGAGTCCATTTGCTATACAATAGACTTATCAGCCGATCAATGGAGTGATTGGAAATTGTTTGATAGAAGGGTTTGGCTCAGGTTCAAAAACCAATCGTTAGATCAATCAATCAAGATTATCCCATACTTGAATAAAAAGCACAAGCCAATACTATCGAAAGATATAAAACCCCAAATTACTCAAGCTTGTAATTCATTACCTTGTGTGTTAGATATTGCCAAGCAGGAAATCATCGCTTTTCCCACTTTGAACATTGGAAACACAATTGAACTGGAATGGTCTTTGAAAGATAACAAATATGAATATTGTAGATATAAGAAGTTGGCAAAGAAGAACAGAGAGATGGAGAGCTCAAATAATTTCATGTAAATATTTAGATTTTATTATATAATTTTGTAAGTAATACATATACATTGCCTCTTTGGATCACTAAACTATGGGAATTGTTGTGACTGGATCTGGTGATAATTGGTGTGTCTCTAATACTCTGGAAGTGGAAGTACTGTAGGCGAGTATCGCAAAGGTGGTCTCATCGTTTCCTTGGATTGTCCTGATACCATACTCAGTATTGGTGGTCTTGAATACCCCAGTCGTGTTCTCTGTCTTTATTTCTTTCCATGTTGAGATGTTCGTAGTGTGAATAATGTTAGAAGATTTTGCAGTTGTCAAACCAATCAAATTTGAATGAATTAGTAAAAAAATTGAAGCCATTAATCGCAAACACATTTTGATAATTGATGTTAGTATATATAATTGGACTATTGATAATTGGAAAACTGTTTGAAAGCAAATTTATAAGTTGACTTAAAATTGCATATCGTATTCCTTTTAAGCGTGAACATAAAATTGAAATGCTGCAAAATTTTAAAACTGTTGCAGCATTTGAAGAATTGATGATTCTTGAATGATTTAATTAATGGGAGTTAAATCATTTTGTTTATCTTTGTTCAAAGACTGATTCCAGGAGCCCTATATGGCCTGGATATCTACAATTATTTCTCTCAATTGTCATTTACTATCAAGATGGTAAGAGCACAGCTGTTGGAATATTGTGGGCGTACTAGAGTTTTAACCTATATCTCGAGCTTTCAACAAAAGCAGAACAGTTTGGCCACACAACCCGACAATAAAGTCTTGAACCAATCAAAGAGTCCTAACCTATGTACCTAAAGAGATGTCTACAACTAATAATTAGATTTGGATACTTGTTGCATATTCTGATGTAGTAACCACTTCCAATGTTTTCAGAAATAAGGATCAGTACTTCACATGTTGGGTTCTGCAGTGAATCAAAGAAGGAGAGAGTTGCGACGCAGCCTATTCTTTTAATTTTCTGATAAGTCCCTCGGTAGAACGATTAGGGGTCCTCCTCTGAGTCTAAGACGGGCAGGTTAAGAAAAGCCTTTGGGTTTACAGTTTATTTACTATTTGTAACATTTTTGTGCAACATTTCTAGTCGTGCAACTATTTCAAAAACAATTGCAAAATTTGTTGCAATTTGTCCACAAGCCAAAAAAAATCATATAAATTCCCACTGAAAACAAAAAACTATTTGTGTTTTCTTCTTTCTCTTCTTCTTCTTCTTCTTTAATTAACTACTACATTCATTCACATATCAATCAAAGACAAGACAATAGTATGTATATTTACCTTCAATCAAGTTCACTAGCCTGAAGCTGGGAAGGGGGCCACTTTCGAAGCCAAATCCCTTCAGATGGGTATCAGTTGTTGATGCCCGTCTAAATGCAATACCTGGTCAATCTTTGTCTTCAAAACGAGTTGCTCCTTGGAGCGGTTGACTGGGGGGTTTAAGGAAGTGTCATAGGTGCAAGGTGGCTGACTACCATCACACCATGTAACGTGCTTCATCTTGTGAAAAGAGGGGTCTAACAAGACTCAGTCATCCTTTTCGGCAAGATAGCATGTTGAGATGTTTTCAATGTAGCTTTCGGCTTATTGAAACTCTCCACTCCACCCGTCACAAATGGCCAATCCTGCATATAAGCTATTTGCTGTTTAATGCCCAATGGTTAGCTTAAAATGTCTCAACTCAGTATTAGACTGTATCTAATGGATGTAGAAATGTATTCATGTAATTATATAAGCGATATGAATAAAATTGGTTGTGCAATCAGCAAAAGTTTGAGTGGTCAAAATCCAGATACATATTGAAAATATGGAAGGTTGAATACGTCTATATAGTTACAATCTAGACAGGGAGGTCTTCCATTAAGAGTCCATTCAACAAATTTCTCTTAGAATATCTCTTATTAACCCTATTTGATTCCAGAGACCATTGAAATTTGCCGATAGGATTTCTTGTCATATTTACCGTTCAGGATTATTGTACTTATAATTTTATTGCTTGTTTCTATATCCACCACGGTAGTGTATATAACTTTCAAGAAAACCTGGATATCCGGCTCTCTATGGCCACCATATCTACCTTAGGATCTTCTGGGACTATCTCTAAATCCTCTATAATTTCCTCTCCCTCTTCCCTGACCTTCCAAATAAAAGTCACGTGAAAATAGTCAATATGCAGTACCAAAAATAATGACAATTTTAATTTTCCACCGAGAGACAACAAAACAAAAAAATAACAAACACATCAATTGAATGTAACTTTCAACTCAGTTGTTAATTATTTATTATTTATTATTGCTTAATCAAATTTAGCTATTATCTGGTACAGAGAGAAAAGGGGAGAAGAGAACAACGAAACCTAATAGGAGAAAGAAGTATAAAAATATCAGATACAAAGGCATGCCCTCAATGTCATCAACTTCTACTCATATGGAAAACTTGTTGGCTTCCAATTCAGGAACACCAAGATTCTTTCAACAACAAACACCAAGATCAATAAGAGGAGTAGTTGGAGGAGGAACATCAAGCAAAGGGAAATTACAAAATCTACTGAATCAATTGTTAAAAGTTGGTCATCAAAGAGTTAATATCGATGTTGATTTATCTACTAATTCAATTGAAGGTTTTACTGAATTGATGGTTATCCCAACCTCAAATACTTTAAGAACAATTAAATTGGATTGTCGAGAAATGGAAATTAAAGATGTGTTTATCAATGGAATAAAGAATGTCAATTATGTTTATAAAGATATGTTATATATTAATGATGAAGACCATTTCCAACAAAAGTATAATATATTTGATTTATATTCTGATACGTTTAATATTCATCAACATCATTATCTTCGATCAAAATTAGATTATATATTTGGATCCATGAATTATGATAATAATTTACATGATACAATTAATGGAGGTGATTCACAAGAACTTCATATAATACTACCAGAAAATATGAAATTCGAATTAACTGACATAAGTGCAATCCAAACTCCTACAGGTAGTCATCCAGGTACAATGACCCCACTGCATTTAAGGTCAAAAGCAACAGTAAGTGATATGTATACTCCTATCCAATTGAAGATCATTTATAGTTTAAAAAATCCCAATAATGGAGTGAATTTCATTACCAATAATGATATAGATAGAAAATCATGGCATGCATATACAAGAAATTCAGATTATAATGTGTCAACATCATCTTGGGTACCGTGTATAGATAATTTATGGGATAGAAATACTTGGTCATTAGAAGTCAACATACCTAGAACTGTAAGAGATATAGGAAATCCAAGAATAATTGGATCCAAAGAAGCAATTCGATTTGCGAGAAATAAAAATAAACGACATCAAGATGATATAGATGAAGAAGATGGAGGTGCAAGTGGAGGTGGTGATGATGATGATATTGATAATTATGATTTAGTTGTTTGTTCTGGAGATTTTAATAATGTTAAGGAAACACCCCATCCAATAGATTTATCTAAAAAAGTTGTTTCATGGTCCGTATTCAACCCTGTTTGTGCGCATCATGTGGGATGGGCTCTTGGGTGTTTTTCTAGTTTTACTTTGAGTGATAGTATAGAGGGACAAGGAACCAAAAGTGACCAAGATGATGCAAGCGGTGAACCTAATGAATATGAAGAAAAAGAAAGTACATATTCTCCAGTTACGGTATATGCATTACCTCATCATATTGAATTGGCAAGAAACACATGTATTATGGCCAACAAGGCAATTGATTATTTTCTGAAAGAATTCGGTTCATTCCCATTCAGTTCTTTTTGTATTGTGTTTGTGAAATTTAGTCCCTTACAACTGAATGGATTTGCTGGATTGTCAATTCTTTCCACAGATTTATTGTACCCACCAGATATCATAGAACCTATGTTTACATCGACAGAAGTATTGTTAACTAGTATAGCTACTCAATGGTCAGGAATAAATATTGCTCCTCAAACATTTAATGACATGTGGTGTACAATTGGTATATCTCATTTCATGGCCAACTCGTATATCAAGAAACTTATGGGTACTAATGAGTATAGATATAAGATTAAACGTGCAATAGATGAACTTGTGATTCAGGATACTGATAGTAATGGTAAGAAACCTTTAGGAATTCAATTTTATCGATTCCCAATTTCCGAAACCGATTTAGATTTTGTGAAATTGAAATCTCCTATTGTATTATATATCCTTGATAATAGAATGACCAAAACTGATAAATCATTTGGACTTTCTCGAGTACTTCCGAAATTATTCTTACAAGCAATGTCAGGGGAATTACCCAATGGAACCATTTCCACGTCCCATTTCCAATATGTATGTGAGAAAGTTAATCGAAATAAATTAGACAACTTCTTCAAACAATGGGTATATGCAACTGGAACACCTACATTAAGAATCAACCAGAAATTCAACAAAAAGAAAACCATGATAGAAATGAATATCCGCCAGACCCAATATCATGCGAAAAGAACAGCCGCCCCGGCAACAACTACCAATCCAAGATCATTCATCGACGAAGCAGTATCATATCTTGACGATGACCCGAACTTCCCCATTCAACCGGTTTTCATGGGACCTTTAACCATCAGGGTTCATGAAGCTGATGGAACGCCATATGAACACATTGTTGACCTCAAAGAATCAAGCACCCGAATCGACGTTCAATATAATTCCAAATTCCGTAAAAAGAAAAAGGACGAATTAGCAGCCGCCGCCGCCAACCCAGATCCAATCACACCCAACCCTTCTTCATTTGTTTACAGACTAGGTGATGTTCTCTCATCGGAATCCGAAATGTCCGATTGGGGACTTGTGAATTTCGAAAAACCAGATGATGAAATCTCGATGTATCATGACCCATATGAATGGATTAGAGCCGATGTGGATTTTGAATGGATTGCAAGAATAGATGTGCAGATGCCGGAATATATGTATGCTTCGCAACTTCAATTCGATCGTGATTTAGAAGCTCAGCTTGATGCGGTGCGATATTTTGGAGAATTGGAAAAACCGGGATTAGTGCATGCTACGGTATTGATTAGAACGGTGATGGATGAGAGATATTTCTATGGGGTGAGATTGGCAGCAGCGGAAGCATTGGCTAGGTTTCTGAATGATGGTAACGGATTTTTGGGAGTAGGCTATTTGGTAAGGGCGTATAAGGAATTGTATTGTTTTCCGGGAAGTTCTATACCAAAGAGTAATGATTTTAGTGATTTTAGGAAGTATTTTTTACAGATTGGTATACCTCAGATTTTATCTACTGTTCGGAATCAAGATGGAGAAGTACCATTTGTGATTAAAGAATTGCTATTAAATTTGGTGAAGTTTAATGATAATACCAATAATAGTTTTCAAGATTCGATATATATTAGTAAGCTTTTGGAATCGTTAACCACTACCGCCATAACCACCAGTGTCCATAGTCGTGAAAAAACCCTGGCATCAGTATTTGCCAATAATGTCGTTACTGAAATCAATCGTCTCCATAAATTAGACCGTTGGACTCCATCATATCAAAACATAATTGAAATCGCATGTATAAAACAGAAAATCAGAATGGCATTAGCTGGCACGATCGATCTATCATTTGAAGATCTAGTGTATCTCACTCAAGATAAATATCCCATGGAAGCTCGAGTAGAAGCATTTCGTGGAATTCTTCAACTTGGAGGATTACGTAATGCAAGTATATTACGATTTTTCTTACATGTTGTATTATTAAATTTCGCTAGACCATTATATCGGATAAAATTGATTCAGGTATTGATTGATTCTATATGCTATGCAGCTATGGATGGTGGACGGTCGAAATTGGATGATCCTGAATTTAAGACGTTGGATAAACTTCCAAAAGAACGAGGTGTGGGAGGAGGAGCCGGTGGTGGAGGTGTTGCTGAAATGATCATAATTGAAGAAGGACCCAGGAGTGAAATGGATTCCAGAAGGGATATATATGCTAGGGCAACGATAAAAGGAGCTATTGAATTGTTACGTCGTGATTATTCGATTGGAAAAGGATTAAAATCAACAATGTGGGAATTATTACACAGTTCATTATTATCACTTCATGAGAAACGGAATTTATTTATGATTCGTCAGATATTATATTGCGAGATTGATTCATTTTTGGTGCTGATTCCAGTTCCTAGTTTACCAGTTGCGGAATTTAAGAAGAAAATCGTGGCTAAGAATCTTGGTGGTGGAGTGGTAATGTTGAAACGTGAAGGACGGTTTAGGATTCAATTACCTACTAGAAAATCAATCAGTTCAGCCACAACCACAGCTGGTGCTCCTAGTACTGCAGCGCCTGGTCAGCCAGGCTCCAGAAGAGGAAGTAAAACTAAAATGGGTGAGCATCCTCCAATTGAGCAGATCGTTGATGTTGGTGGCGGTAGTGGTCCACAGAAATTAAAACTTTCAATAAGTCTAAAATCAACAGTACTGCCAGATAAGGAAAAACAAAAAGAAGTTAGGAGATCGTCGATTAGTAAGAAGATGAAAATTCATGAACCTAAAGTATTTATTAATAAGGGTTTTGTTACGTTCAAGATTCCAAAGCATAAACTTGCTCGGATTTCGCACAGTCGACCACCATCTCGAATCGTGAACCACCATGTAGCTGTCAGAGGATCATTAGTTACTCTTAGGTTTGGCAAAGAAGCGATGAATAAGGTGTCTCGATTAATGGCTCCACCAGTTGTGCATCGATATGTTAAGATTTCGACAAAGTTGAAAACTATTGAGATTTCAACGGAGCCATTTAAACCAGTTGTTCAAAAGGAGCCTATGCAACCTAAGGTTGAAACTCCAAGTATATCTCAACCCATTGAAGAAGAAATCAAGAAAGAGAATGTCATTCCTAAGGCCACTGAACCTGAAAAGCTACCAATAATTGAAGAAAAGCGAGCAGCTTCAGAAATCCCACCTCCTAAATCCAATGAGCATAAAGACATCACCTCACAACGTGCAAAGAGTGAATCACCTAAAAGCAAACAAGAAGAAGTCAATGTATCGGAGAAATCAAATCTATTCGAAAGGTCTACTTCACTTCCTTCTGTCCCACCATCCGCACCCAAATCAAGAGCATCACTGACTGAACCTCTAGTAGATTCCAAGAAGTCGACCCCATTTTCTCGTGGTGCTAGTCCATTTACGATATCACCATCTCCTCACACCAAGAAGAAGAAAACCAAGATTTATATTCATGGAAGTGGTGGACTGTCAGATTCTAAGCGTTCTAGGAATGGTACTAGCTCTCCTGAGAATTGAAATTGAATTTATAGAAGTCTTGTATTTTATGTGTATAAACTTTTGTATTATTATCATTAACAGTAATGAACTTAACTAATCTTCTAGAAGTATCCTTTGTAGTTTGATATAGTCTTAGGGACCATCTAAAGTCGGCTGTTAAGTTGTTTATCGTTCGGCAATTTGATGTAAAAATTATTAAATATCACGTGACTCAGATTTTCGTATTTTTTTTATAGCCAAATTTAGAAAACGATTCAGAAGATAAAGCAATTAACCACCACCACCACATTCATAAATCATCAATCAATCCATACCCACTCTATTTATCAAGACCATGGCATTCAACGGGCTACCTTCATTCAATACAATAATATCCAAATCAACACCAACCACATCCACCACCAATGAAAATACAACTTCATGTACACCGCCATCAACAACCAGTAGTGCAACCACTACCACACCAGCAAATGCTATTGTTACAACCGGTACAGGTAATATTGGCGGATCTGAGTCTCCCCAATTTACATCCCCAACATCTGCATCAGTTCCGAAATCTCCGTTCTTAAAAGGAATATTCATGAAGGGTAGCATTGGCGAGAGTACCACTTCGGCATCGAATGGTCAATCAGTTACTGCTGCCAGTGTAGCTGCACCCGTGGTTGGAGTCACTTTAGGTGATGAGACTGGTTTATCTAATAGCAATCAGAAAAAGAGTACTTCTAGGACTGATTTAATTGGATTGTTTGATAAATTTGATCTTAGTGCTAACAACAATAAGTCTGATGGAAATGATATGGGTGATGACCAAGCTGAAGCCATCGACCAGGAAGACGAATTGAGGGACATCAAGAGCCCTACGCAGATGAAAGAGGAATCGTCTCATCAGCATGTATGTGAGAAAGATAAAGATAAGGAAAAGGAGCATATTGAAAAGGAAAAAGAGGATGATGATACTATTGATTCAGAAATTACTGAACCAGACCAACAACCTCAAACTAAAGAGAAGAACAGTGCCGCATTTATGTCCATACAGCCATATTTTCCTCCGGAGGAAGAGAATGCCAGTACGGCTACTCCTTCCTTAAATGGAAGTGATATTCAACTTAACCAACAAAGAGAGCCAGAAGAAGAAGAGAGACCCAAAAAGGAAATAGATCACAGTGAAAATCTAATAGATATATCTGATGATGACGAGAATGGCGTGGCCAATAATGAAAAACAACCCCAGGTAGATGTGACACATTCTCCTGCACCAGAAATTATTACCTCCGATACCATTAGCACAAAAGCCTCTGGAAGTGATGAAGGCATATTGGATATTACTGGTGATGAAGATGACGAATCCGGAGTTGAAGAATTTCAATTAAAACAAGATGAGCAGGTCCAACAAGATATTCCCCATTCAGAACTTGAGAGTCCCACCCACTTGACTAAATTAGATAAAGCTAAATCACATGTCAGTCCCTCTGAACAATACCAACAATCGCATCGACCATTTGATTTCCATAATTTCTTATCCCAATTACGTAAAAAAAGTGCCGATCCGGTGGTTAGATATATTCGATCATTTTTGGGATCATATTCCCGTCAAGGACATACATTTTCAGCAACGCAACGAATTAAAATCATAATTGATTTCAAGCGATTTATGAATGAGAAATTCTCTATATATGAACCATTTGCATCTATGGATAATATTGACTTGGAGAATTCTCGTGAAGGATTAGAAAAATTGATTATGAATCGATTATATGTTTTATGTTTCCCGCCTGAGGTACTAAAACTGTCAATTACGCATATGCCTGAATCATATCGACAAGATTTGATCCAGGATGAAGAATTTGGATTACAACTTGAGAAATTTAGTTGGATAAATGGTTCACATTTAGATATAGATATGGATGCATTTTTAGTTACTAAGAATATTAAGGAAGATCAAAATTTTTTGGATTATGCCACTAGTGAATTAAATAAGATTAATAATTATCGTGCTCCAAGAGATAAGATTATTTGTATTTTGAATTGTTGTAAAATAATCTTTAGTTATTTGAAAATCACTAATAAGGAAACCAATGCCGATGCATTTGTACCATTACTTATATTGGTTATATTTAAAGCCAAGACGCCGAATTTGATAAGTAATATTCATTATATTGAAAGTTTTAGGGGAGAAGAATGGCTTTCACATGGAGAAACCAGTTATTATCTTTCATCTATCCAAGGAGCAATTGGATTTATTCAGAATTTAAATATTGGTGATTTAACAATCTCCGAATCAGAATATGACGCACATATGGAAGCATGGGAAGCTCAACGAAAACAAATTGAACTACAGCAACAAGAACAGCAACAACGACAACAACAAATAAATGACAACTCTTTGTTATTACATCCTCAAGCCCAACCTATATTTGCAAAGACGAATTCTATGAGACAAGCACCTTCAGGTGAATTTCAATCAGGATTATCTCCTTCGAGTGTATTACTTTCCAGTGCAGAAATCTTCACAAAATCAATCTCGAATCTATGGACCTCTCCCCTGCCCCAACCCCAACAACAAGAAGAAGAAGAATCCGATGCGGAAGCTCTCCATCAACAAGCAGAAGAGGTTCCTAATCCAAATGAACAATATCAACCAGCCGCTCCAGCTGAAGATGAAATTGATCAAGAATTATTGAAATCAACATATAAAACCCTTAAAGAGATCTTTCCAACTTTGGATAAGAATATTTTGAAGGATGTGATATTTATTAACAGGGGGAATGTTGATACTTCTATTGATGCCTGTTTGCAATTGGTTGAAGATGATTGAATGTGTTTATGGATATGTATATGATTAGATAGAGAGAAAGTGATTGAGTAAGATTCTGGAAATAATAGGCAATAAAGCAAGTCCGATACTTAATTTTATATTTTTCTCTTTTAGAGGCATTAATGACAGCAATATACAATATAAGTAGAATATTGTAAAGAAACAGGAAGTTGGAATATTCGTTTTACTCTGTTTGCAATTTTAATTGATTCATACTGGAGGCTAATAATTTAGATAGAATGGTAGCGCCAGTGATTTGGAAAAAATGGGTGCAAAATTGAACACAAACTAAAAATTTCAAACAGAATAAATATCTCTAGAAATTCTTTAGAAAATTTTAATTTTATTTGTGTTTTCTTTCTTTCTTTCTTCTTTAATTAACTACCACAATCATTCATTCACATATTACAACTATTCCAATCAATAATTATATCATATCCAGAAGGGAAGGAAGGGACTATACTAACCATACTAACATTCTTAATCTCAATCTAGCCTGAAGCTAGGAAAGGATCAAGTTTCTTTTATTAGAAGCTCCTTTCAGATTTTTATCTGGATTGTTGAGAAAGGGGATCGCGATTCTCCGATCTTGACTTTCTTGAATATTTATCTAAGTGTTGGTTTTAATACCCGGTCAAATTTCATTTACAATACTGATGTCTGACGGCACATTGATGTCGAACGACTCTGACATGTATTTGATCTGGCTGGGGGGGTTAAGGAAATGTCATAGGTGCAAGGTGGCTGACTACCATCATACCATGTACAAGTTCGGCTTGTTGATCAGTTCTCAATTCAAGAATCAATTGTAACAACTTTTGCCTCTTACAAAATTGAAACTATCCATTTCCACCCGTCACAATTTACCAGTACTGCATATAAGCTTTTTGGTGATAACACGTTGTGGTTTAAGGTATATTAGTTATAATGTATATTAGTATATAGCCAGACTGTTCCCACAGGCATCCAAGTGGTTGAAGTAAACTATATTTAAATTTTGGTGTTGTATTGAGAGTTTGAAAATTGCGTATGCATATTCAGTACAAACGCATGTATGAAATAGAAGAATTTGTGGGAGTCATCTGATTTATTCTATAAACATCCAAATCTCCCAACATGATTATTACAATCATTTATCAACATAGTTGAGAAGAACTAACATATGCATCCAATTAATGTTATTCTATTGCAAATAGCCATGGGTTGCATAATTTTTTTGCAGCAATTTTGAATTTTTTCTTGAGCATTATTCATCAGTATCGTAGAGTAATCGTTGAAACAAAAGTGGACAGCAATTATGGTTTTGTTGAAAAAGTGCTTGAATAATACATCCAGCAATATTTCACTAAGCTAGCTCATATTCGTAGATTCCCACATGGGGCTAACACTTAGGGATTTATATATTTATTTAATGATTGCCTTTTAAATGAATGTGATGCTATTTAAGAGATTAAATATATATTGATCAGTAGTATAAATTCAATACGGTATGCCTAAATTTTCCTGTGTTTTACATATTTATACATAATTAATTCACAGTTGCTTGCCCACTCCTCTTCTATCAAAGCAGCAACTAATCAACAAATTAGAATGAATTAATGAAGGATAAACGGAGAATGATGACTACCAACAATTGATCAAGCTGATTGAAACAAGGTTTTCTATAAATTTGTATTTAAGATTCCATCATTAATCAGATGCATGTTGAACGTCTTTAGCATGAGCTTCTAATAAAGCTGGTTGAAATTTCTGTAATTTCTCCTTTAATATTGGAACAAAATGAGTTTTAACTGGTTGTTTAAACAATGCAGAAGTGATTTCGATTTCATAATCATCATCATCATGAATGAACTCAGGTATAGTAATACTAGCAGTTCCCTTTTTATTCTCTTCCTCTTCGTTCTTTTCTTCAATATCGATTGAGAATTGTAATTTTAAATCAAAAATACACAACACTTTTCCTTTTCTTTGAGTAACATCACAATCTCCCGTGATTGAATCTACTGAGGTTAGCACAAGTTTATAAGTATCATTTTCAAATGTGGTATTAACAATATTATCATTGAAATATTCTTTTGTCCATGGTAAACAGTTTTTATCTATCCAATGCCTTTTTCAAAAACAAGGTTAGTAATTTTTGTCCATGCTTTTCACTTGATGTTTCTTCCTGTTTGATTCTTGTACTTACCAGTTGTTTGGGTTGTGTACTACCATCTTGTGTGTTTAAATGCTTATAAGTTTAATAAGAAAGAATGTATTTTGGGAAATTTTCAATAAATTTATGACCTCATTGATTTTTTTTCTTTTTGCTTCGATGATTTTCCATCAATCAATCAATACAAAAAAGTGCGGCAGAAACCTTAAAAACATGTCAAAAATGCAAGTGCCTGTACCGCGGTGGTGGGGACTCTTGAGTCCCATTGTAGTAGAGAAAGGGGTTACTTGCTAATTGTCTATTAAGTTGTTCAAAGTAATATGAATAGCATTATTGATAATATTTATACACTATCTTTCATTAGCTCTTGCTCTTATAATTTTTCAGTTGTTTTCTGTTAATTACTTGAGAAAATTTTGCAATCATTAAAATTAGAGTTGCAAATTCGAACTTATTTGACTTATGATTCTAAATACGAAACTGAAATTTTCAATTATATCTATTTTAGATATTCAAGAATATTCTTTTTAAGGATCTTGCAATAAATATACAATAAAATGAGATAAGCTCATGTTAATGGTCTAACTTTATGCCCTCGAATCCTGAAATATTCTCCATATGTATGAAACCGGATCCGATCAGAAACAAGAGCAAAAAATTTCAATAAACTATTGTCTTGATATATATTACTATAATAAAACTTCCAACATGGCGAAAATCATGTGATCCTTAATCGCAGCTTGAGGATGTACTAATAAGAAGTAAAGATCAAGCAATATATGTCAAAGCACTTTAATACTACAAATTTAAAACAGAGATTGATTATTCTACAATTATCGAACCTTCAGGGGGAACCTCATTGGAAACCACATAGGTCAAATAGCCACACAATGTTTATCACAACTGAAGTACCATAATCTCTAATAATGGTTGTTCAATGTGCTCTTTTGGTGTAACATCCTTTGGAGAATCTGCCTGAATGGAGGTCATTTCAAGATATTCACATTGGGTTTGTTTAAAACACGACACTTCTTCGTCTTGTTTCAATTCTTAGTAATTCAACTTATCGTCGGTAGGTTGGGGTCTTTGTATTTAGTGTTTTTTTGACATGCAAGGTTTGGTCTCATTTCCTCTTTTAGAACTTCACTCCCAAGAATACTGGGTTGAACATATAAAAATATAACAATCTTTACTGGATTTATGAGATTGAGTTTTGGAAAAACTGAGTACATTATTGAATTAGTCGCTTTCTATATGAAAAAAGTGAAGAAGTACAGAGGAAGTTAAAATTCCAATTTTTTTTCGCAATCTGTCAATTAAGAGTGCTGCAAATTTTCCTAGTCATTCAGGAACCACACAAGAAAGAATATGTAGACAGTCACAAGCCAGACAACCACAATACTTATGTGGTTAAGAATATTTAAGAGGGTGCTTTTCTCGTAATATATTTCTCGTTATTATGTATGAAATAATCACTATTCTCTAAGAAGTTGCGACTTGGCTGCAAAATCAATCAAATGATAGAAAAAGAGTCAATAAAAATAAAAAAGTTTAACTCTGGTTCCGAAAATCGGACAATGTATTATAAATGAATTGACCAATCACAAAGTGATTTAATATGCTTACTCGTTTCACTAGTTATATACAGGAAATATGGAGTACACATTAGTAATTAAGGTCGTGTATAAATTACCAAAAAAGAAAATTTTGATTGGAAGAAATGACTCTCTCCCACCAGTTACAGCAATTGAGATCTTTATTATATAACTAACATACACCAAACAATTGTAACTTATATATATATTAAATTAACTTTGACATTTTTTTTAATTTAATTTAATTATAAACTTTTATTTTTAATTTACAAATACATTCAATAATCAAATAACTTATAGAGAAATAGCTATTCAATTATCACTTATAGAAATTGGCATTTGCTTATCACTTACTACTACTACTTACTAGCTAACTAATATATACAAACATACAGATACACATACAATATGATAACTACAAGAAGATCAACCATAAATTTAACTAAAAGATTCATATCCAATCAATCTAAAAAGAATAAAAGATTTATGCAAACAATACCCATAACAGGATCATCAGCTACTAGTGTACCATTTTATTCCGGGTTAAATTATTCAAGTACAAATCAACAACCATCAACCACATCCAAATGGGCTAAACATACATTAGTAACCCCAGTTCCTCAACAACAACAGACACAACAGACACAACAGACACAACAACAGGTGCAACAGCCTACTGTTGCTGCGCCAATTAGAAGATCAAGGACTTCTCGGTTCTCAAATACCACATTAAAAGAAATAACCACATCAAAACCAAAAGTTGCTGTTCCACCTCCTGCATCTAATATAATAGAAATATCTGCTACTCCAGAAGTGCTAGCTGCATCTTCAGCAATACAAGCTGCCCCTAAAGTTGCGCCTGCTGTTGCTAGTACTACTACTGCCACCACCACAGCCGCCGCTCCAAAGAAGAGAAGGGTATTACGTCCAAGAAAGGCATTGATCACATTATCATCAAGTGCAATGGAACATTTAGCACGAGAAAGGTTAGTTGGTTTAGGTTTTTACTAAGCATAACCTCAATACTTAGGAGGATGTTCAGGATTAACATATCATTTAGAATATGTTGATTCCGCGGGGAAATTTGATGAATTGGTTGAACAAGATGATGTAAAAGTATTAATTGATTCCAAAGCATTATTTTCTATTGTTGGATCAGAAATGGATTGGTTGGATGATAAATTATCTTCAAGATTTATATTTAAGAATCCAAATTCTAAAGGAACTTGTGGATGTGGTGAATCATTTATGGTGTAGACCTTATAATATTTTATATATACATCTATAACATATACGAACATAAGCATATATTTTTATTTATTTTATAGTTAACGCAATGCCCAAATACGTCTTAATGAATAATAATAAACTAAATACAAGAAGGAGGACCAGTCCCTACTTTATCTTTCTACATTCAAAATAAGTAGCATCAACATCATTTGGTAATGAACAAAAATATTCCATTTTTTGCATAATTGTAAATAATTCAACATTATTAATCTTCATCTTTAAACAAGTCTTCCCACCATCTTGAGTATTATTGGTACAGATAATACTTTCTTTAATATCCCGTTCACCATCAATAACAAACATATTATTTGGTCTAACATTAACAAATTCAGCAATACTGGATTCAATTTGTTTCTTGTCAGTCATGTCCAGTATATTCTTAACTCTAACACTGGATTCATCGGTACTTATTTGTGAAATCGTAAGAGCGATATCTGAAGATGGAGCAATATCTCCTGGAATTGCGGTGGTGGACGGCATATTAATTGAGCCGTGGGCACGTTGTTCAATTTGTTGAGGAGGGAAGTTATTTGAAGGGGTTTGTTCAATTGAGGAATTGTCAGTCTTTGATTTACTAAACCAGGCCATGTCTTATATATTTATGTGTGTATAATGCTAAGAGAGTAGGAGAAGAGAAGAATGGTAATTAATATGAAAAAATGGCAAAAAGGGTCTAGAAGTTTTTTCAGTTGCTCTCTATAAAGGGTTAGTGATGGGATATTTGTATTAAAATTTAAAAGTAAATTAAAATTATTTAATTATAATTTACAATTATAACCAATAAATTCAATTGGTATTTGAAACTTCTTAATTTGTTTCTTAGTTAATGATTCTTTCTTCTCTTCCATTATTTTCAATTGTTGTTGTAATTGTTCAACCCATTGATATTTATAATCATATTTAATCTCATTAGGTAAAGTTAAATCAATTTTTATCATACTATTAATAATCTTACATTCCATAGTCTCATTAGTCTCACTCACTAACCCCTTCTCAAACACAACAACATCATCACCCCCACTCTTATCCTTCCCAGCATCCACAGTCGCATTAAATACAAACGCCAAAGTATTCATCAACCTCTCCTCCAATTCATCCTCCCTTAACCCTTCTTTCATTCCCAAAAACACCTCTCTTCGAAGATTATAATTCTCATTGGAGAATTTCCGCCTGAGTAAAGTATGATATTCATCACCAATATATTCATGACCTGGAGGATTGAAAGTTGTTCCATATAATGAAACTCGGCCATATTGAAATTTCCGTAATTTATAGAATCGTTTATAATAAGCACGAAGTTTAGATTTGAAATTTGGGAGTTCCCTCTAAACCACTACTCACCAAACCTCCAAATAATCACCAAATACTTCCTAATACCCGGGCACATCATTACGGATTGTATATTTGGCTGAGATCATCTCTTTTACTGATTGATTGATTGTATAGTATATGGTGATGATCTTCGATTGATTCGATATTTTTAATTTTTCGCGTGGGTTGAATATCATCGCTTAATTAATATGGTGCGACTAATCACTTATTGTATGAGAATGAATTGGTTGCAAAAAAAAAATAGCAATAGTATGGATCATCAAAGAAGAAGAGAGGGAACAATGAAAGATTGTTTGATTGTTAGAAAAGATGAAGATTATATAAAGTTAGAATATGACTATAATGATGATGACATCTCTAATGATATAATTATTATTCCTGGTTCAGTATTGATTCTTGATTTCAATATATTCATAAATGTAAATCAATTAAAACCAACAAATTATAACAATTTTTTACAATTGTTAATTAAAAGAATGAAAGGCACATTATATTGGGAAAAAACATTGGATTATGAGGTCAGTTATAATATGAATCAAGATACTAACACATCTTTTAGTTTAGAATTAAAATGTAATATCTTCCAAATTTTACAAATAAATTCACAACAACTTCATAAGATAAATATCAATTTATATTGGTTAACAGGAGATACAGTCTGTAATATTGAAGACATGATAACCAAATTCAATTATATGTTAACATCATGGTTGTTCAATATGGAATCACAATTCCCATTGATATTTTGTAGTATTGGTAGACAATTTATCAAATTGAATATGGCATGGTATAAACGATATTATTTCGAGGTGTTTGGGACTCAACCACAACAAGATAATATGATCAAGTTGTTACAGATGCTTCAGAAGGATATATTAGACAACAAGACCAGTTTAAAGTTGTTGTTGCTGGGTTCACGTAGCCAGGAATCTTCTCAATTGCCTGGGCATTATTTGATTAAGTTGATTGACTCATAGTACGTTAACTTGATGACCTCGTTATGCACGATTAGTAATATCGTATTTCAAACGCCAAGCTTCCATGATGATCATATTGGCAGTTACAGCGCCTTTTTAAATATGGTGTCCCCCAAACGTGTATGATTGTATAGCCGGTAAGAGTGGAGGATCTGTCATCTCAAAGGAAGGTCGTTCCTTAACAAAATTTGGGGGATCCATAGTTAGACGACAAGAAAAAAAATTGTGTCGCAGTTGTGGCGGTACAAACTTTGTACAATGTTCCATTATTCGGAAAAATCCTCCCCACAACACAAAATGATTTTCCGAACCTCAATTTTTTTTTTTCATTGAAATTTGACAGGGTGTATAAATACCACATTTTCTTCCGCCTCCTCCTCCTTCTTCTTTCCAGAGTTTGTTTCCATCAAATCATTATAAATCATATTCCAAATGTCTAATTCAATTAATTTCGCTGTTGTAGGTACTGGTATTTTCGCCACTGATACTCATTTACCAACCATTCAAAAAATCCCTGAATTAAAAGCAGTAGCCGCTTATAATCGTACCAAATCAAAAGCCGAGAAATTTGCTGAAAAATACAACATAGCAAAATCAAAAGTCTATGATTCATTAGAACAAATATTTCAAGATCCAGAAATCGATTTTGTTGATGCTTTATTACCAGTCCAATATAATTTAGATGTTGTTAAATTAGCCATCCAATATCAAAAACCCCTTTGTTTTGAAAAACCAATTGCGGCCAATTTGATCCAAGCTAAAGAAATCGTTCAATTGAGTGAGACAACTGATGTTCCTTTAATGGTATTAGAAAATTGGACATTTTTAACTGCAATTGATATCATCAAACAACAAGTCTTACCTAAAATTGGCCAAGTTGTTGGATTTACCTATCATGCCACTGGTCCATTCAATTCTACTAATAAATATTTAGCTACTTCTTGGAGACAAAGACCAGTTCATGTAGGTGGGTTTCTTTCTGATGGAGGTGTGCATCAAATCGCATTATTAACTGAAGTATTGGGCCCAGTGGATCTGATTTCCGGATTTACGAAACAAGTTAGAAAAGAAACTGGGGCTGATGATATTTTATTCTCAAGTGTAAAAATGAATACTGGTGTGATTGGGACATTTACTTATGGATCTAGTTTTGGTGCCACTGATAAAGCACAATCTTTTACAATTTATGGAACTAATGGATCATTAGTCTATGATTGGTCTCCAAGTTTGACCAAACCTACTATTACTTATCAAACTGGATCTGAAACTTCTGAAGCTAGTGAAAAAATTGTGATTGAAATTGATGAGGTTGATACTATTGAAGAAGAATTTAAGAATTTTAGAGATGTTGTGGTTGCTAAAGATAAGAAATTGATTAGAGTGACTCCTGCTAAAGCATTCCATCATTTAGCTATTATTGAAGCTGCATTACAATCTTCTAAACAAAATGGTGCTAGTGTTAAGGTTGAATTACCTTAGATATTTAGTTAGATTTTCACAGATATATACAATTTACAATTCATCTGCAAGGTGCTCTATAAATGTAGAAGAAGATTCGATGACTGCTTCAATTATTGATGTGGTTGTTATATCTTCTAGTATGGATGACAAGGTAGTTTCAATGGATTCGTCAAGTATTATGAAATTGATTGCCGATTCAATAACACTTTCAATGGGTGATTCGAGTAGCATAGGTGTGGCAGTAGTATCTATAATACTAGTAGTACTTGTAGTTGATTCGATAATATTCTCAACAACCGATGTAACAGACTCATCAAGTAGTACCGATGTGGCAGTAGTAGCTATAATACTTGTAGTACTTGCAGTGGATTCAATAATATTTTCAATAACCGATGAAACAGGTTCATCAAGGGGTACGGATGTGGCTGTTGTAGCTAATATACTACTAACACTAGCACTAGCGCTAACCCCAGTAGTAGTAACATTAGTGGTAGTTCCCATCAACCAATTAAAAACATTTTTGTAAAATTTGTATCTGGTTTTGTTATTGGAGTTTCCAGAAGAATTATAAGAACTATAAATCACCCAACAACAACATAACAAGAAGAATCCAATAGATAAATAAATCCTCTTTCTATCAGATTTATCTTGTTTTTCAATAAATTTAATAATTTGTTTTGAATTAGTTAATAAATCTTGAAATTTGATAAATGATTCATTTAATTGCAGGAGATCTTTAGTTTGTTGTTCTAAATTATCAATATTTAATTCACTTTGTAAGATTGTTGCTGATAATAATTGTCTTGATATTTGTAATGATTGGGTGATTTGTTTATTTTGAGATACAATTTGTTGATTGATTGATGTTGGGGTGATAATGGGTGGAGCAATGGTTGATTTGTTATTGAATAATTGATTTCTCATCTCATTAAGATCATTGGATGGTTGTTGTTGTTCTGGTACTTGTTCCTGTTGTAATAAGTTGAATTGTTTAATTCTAATTAAATGATGTTGATTTAATTGAGATTCATTAATAATTAATTGGAAATGACGTAATTTAGATTTAAATGAATTTAATTTATGTTGATAATATTGAATTGTTTTGTTATTATTGGGTTGTTGTTGTTTCTTTAATAGTTTAATATAATCTTTATATTTAATTAATTGTTGATTAATTGATTTAATGATATTATCATTATGGTTGGTANTTTATATTTAATTAATTGTTGATTAATTGATTTAATGATATTATCATTATGGTTGGTAGTGGTTGATTCATCTGAAGATGTTAAATCTATTGTATAAATATTCAATGCTAATTCATCTAATAATTCATATATGGTTGTTTGTATATCTTCGAACTTATTACTAATGATCATCTCTTCTTATCAATGCCTTTTTGTATTCTTAATTTGGACTATTATTCGTAATCAATCAAAGTTATATTTGTAAACTAAATTTGGTGAGAAAAATATTTTTGTATATTGTGAGAACTATGCGCAACCAATACAAAAATCAATTGGATCACTTTGGTTGTTTAAATAGATAATAGCTAGATCACCATCTATAGATAAGTTCTTATCATTGCCATTATATATATTGTTCATCATTCCAAGGATAGTTTATATTCATTGAATTAGTTTGTCTTTTAAGTATGTTTAAGCAATATCTTCAGTTAGTGACTACCTTTTATCTTGTATGTAATCTCGCATAATATGGGGGGGTCAATGAGCCCCTGGGCTTTTAACGTGTCAATATCTATAATAATCATTTGAATAATTAAGAATTATTAATTGATTCATATATGAATTGAATTAACAATAATTGATAAATTAATAATCTTGATTAATTCAATATACATTTTATAACTTTTATACGATCGATTTTATAGTATTTTTGAATGACCAATTTTTCCTTATTTTAAACTTTTTAAATCTCATCATTTCTTTATGATCTCTTCTTTTGTTCTCTTGGTCATCTCTTCTTCTTTCTTCAATAGGATATCAATTGCAATGAATATACTATACACAACTTATATACTGTAGATACTTAATATAATATACACACACAATATGACTCCATCAGAACAAGAAGAAGAAATATCCCCGAAACATCTGCCAAAGCAACAACTGCAAGATATAACCAATGACAATGACGTTGATAGTACTGCGTTATTGAATAGTGTCAGTGTCTCAAGTGAGCTAAGTTACTCCACTAGTCAAAGACGTAAACTGTTAACCAAAAAACCAATGGATCCTTCTTTATTAACTCCAGAATATATTGAAGAACAAAGAAGATTACGTAACTTACGTAAAGAACAAGAACGTAAAGAAAAAGAAGCCTTAGGGTTAATTCCTAAACAAGATGAAGTTAAAGATCCTTTTATTAAACGTCCATTACTTGAAGTGTCTAAACCTGACCCAGAAAAGGGTCCAATTATAAGAATCATGTCTTATAATATTTTAGCTCAAACTTTAATTAGAAGAGAATTATTTCCTACAAATGGTAAGATTCTAAAATGGTCAATTCGATCTCAAGTATTATTAGCTGAAATAAAGCATTATAATGCTGATATCTTATGTCTTCAAGAATTAGATCGATTACAATTTAAAACCTTTTGGATAACAGAATTTGAAAAATTGGGTTATACTACCAAGTTTTATCGTTTTAATACCAAGAATCATGGAGTTGCGATAGTTTTTAAATCAAATTTATTCATTTGTAAACATCAATCATTTATTAAATATGATCAAGATATAATTCATGAACCTAATGAAAAGAAATTACCTGGAGCAAGAATTGTAACTAATAATGTTGGTTTTATGGCATATCTTGAATTTCAACCTCATTTAATTAAACAATTCCCCAATTTAGCGAAAAGAAATGGAATAATTATGGGAAATACTCATTTATTTTGGCATCCATTTGGTACATTTGAAAGATGTAGACAAACTTATATGATTTTACATAAATATAAAGAATTTGCTCGAGTTTTAAGTATTATTTTGGGGAATTCAAAGGGGTTTTATTCATTTTTTGCTGGTGATATGAATTCAGAACCGTTTGATGCTCCATATCTTTCAATCACGGCCAAACCAATTACTTATAAGGGGCAAACTAAGAATGTTCTTGGATGTTCTTTATCTTATACATATTCTAAAATTCGTGCATTAGATGAAGAGGGAGAGAAGCATCCTAATGATAACACAAAGCATCGTAATGTTGACACCAAGAATAATAATCAGGACAACAACAACAATGAAGAGGATGATAATGACGAGGAAGTAGAAGAAGATGAAAGAAGAGAAGATGTGGAAGATGTACAACGAAATAATCCAACAAATCCAGAACCAGAAGTATTCAACCCTACTCCTGAACAAGAAGAATTAATCCAACAATTACAAGAAGCTCATAATTCTCTTGATATTAGAGCTATTTCATTATATTCCGCCGGATATAAATTAGTTCATCCTGAAAATTCCGGAAATAATAATGATCGAAATGAACCTAATTTTAGTAATTGGGTTGGAGTTTGGAATGGATTATTGGATTATTTATTAATATTAACAAAATGGGATGTTAAAACTGAAGATTATTCATCCCAAGTTGATACTCCAGAAGAAATTGAACTGAGATGTAATGTTAAATTATTAAAATTATTGAAAATGCCTTTGGATAATGAAATGGGTCCACAACCTAATGGACAACCTAGAATTAATCAATATCCTTCCGATCATCTTTGTATTATGGCAGAATTGCAGCTTTTATAATCATACTCCATTTGCATTCGACTAGTTAACTTGTACATTTATATTTTTGCATACAACATATATAAACCCATATAACCCAAGTTTAAATCCCCCATTTAAACTCAATACATAAATATTATATATAAAAAAAAACGATAGCGATATATTACACCCTCATCCTATTACCATACTACTTCTTTAACATAGTATCAACTAAATCTTCCAACGGACCATAATCTTTCTGACTTATTAATTGAAATTCATTAGCAAACAACACATAATGTTTCAAACTAGTATTCAAATGACTCTGTAATCCCAATTCACTAATCTCATGAAAATGATGACAATATATATGAGCATATACTCTAAACAACCTCTTAAATATAGTTTTAACTAATTGTGGGAACTGTTGAGGAAATGGAGCACCAGTTTTCAGAGGAAATATATTCTCATTATCAAAGAACCCCTGAACCCAATTCATCAAATTCTCAATATATTCACAAGCAGGCAACGAGATTGGTCTCTTAGGACTAGAACTACTTGCATCCTGTTGTGATTGTTGTTCTTGCCAAAGATATTCATATTCTTCAGTCGCAATCATCCTGGGACAGGTCAAGGGGGAACAAAATTCAGTAATGGCGCCATAGAGCATATTTATCTGATTATAAAAGTCAACAACATGGATTGCGAGCCATTCATTGACATCCTCATCTATGGGGAGTTTCACGGCTTGGATTAAGGCATTGGATGAACCTAAGGTTTGTTCAGCATAGTTTCGGAGTTCTTGATGATTTGATATTTGCGGTTGGGTTTGATCTTGATTTGTGGTAGTATTTGCGTCATGGCCAAGGTTGATGGTTTGATAGGGATTGTTGATGAGTTCTGGTAAGGCTGAACTTGCGTGTTGTTGTTGAGGGGATGATATCGGGGAGTTTTGTTTTAATTTGAATCCTCGTGTTGATCTTAATGTATGGGTATTGAAATTTTTGAAAAGCGACATTATGGGTGTGGTCTTTGTTATTATAACTATGAAAGATAAGTAAACTGTATTAAAGTTTATTAAAGCTTGTGGTTTTTATGTTTTATTGTTTGAGTGGGTGTGAAATCAAATCAATTTCATAAAAAGATTTTGAAATGTTTTGAATTCTTCCAAATTAAGAAAAAAGGATATATCCGGGTAATAATGTCAAGTCACATGATACAAGTCATGTGATTTATATTTTTGACCAAAACTACACGACCTCCTATTTTTAAGTTTTTCCTTTGCTGGTTGTAAAAAAAAAAACTTTCAATCCTTATGTCTTCTTTCCCACCAATTAACGATTCTAACTTATCAGCAATTCATTCATCTTTACCTTCACTTAGGTTAATGTCTTCATCATAAACACAATGAAGTTGACGATGAAAAAGAACAACAGCATACCCATGAAGAATCGCCAGTTTCAGCTTCCAACAACGATGAACTTGAATCAAATGACCCCGAAACTACCACTCACACTTCAGAAAATGAATCAGAAGAAGTAACCCATCAAGAAGAAGTAGTAGTAGACGATAAAAGTCGTGATTCCACTAATTCTGCTATGGAAGAGAAAAATGAGCCCAAAATTGAAGAAGTTCAAGAAGTAGAAGTAAAACATCAAGAAATACTCTTTAGAGTTCTACAACTCCTAATACTGGGACTTCGTCGTAAACGACGTGGGCAACCTCATTCGGAAACTAGTCCAGAATCTAGGAATGATCAATCATCAGTTGCTCCACAACAGCCACCTCCACAACAGCACCAGCAAGAAGTTGACGACGATGATGATTATGACCCAGAATTAGCATTGAAAGATGATCATGAACCCAAATTAGTCGAAAGACAAATCACTCCCAGTCCTCTTGTACCGCAACAGCCCCTTGTGAAACCAGCAGGAAGAAGTCCAGCTGGATTGCCCCCAAAACCTCCCGTAAGTGCTTCCAAATCACGAGGAGGAGGAGGAGGAAGTCGTCATTCTAACCGAGCTGCATCTGGACCAGCTGATTCTCAACAACAGTTAAAACAAGCTTATGAAGCTGTTATGCATAGTGAAATTGCCAAAGATCCAAATTTTGTAAATTTACCACAATCTGAACAATTAAAATTAATCACCGAACAACTAAATTTACAAGGAGTTCAATTAACCGGTCCTAATACTTCTGGTAGTAGTGGGAAACCAATGAATTATGACCAGGTATATTCTTATAATAAACCATATAAGAATTTAAAAGATCCTATTCCTTTAATCCCCATAAATGAATATTGTCGTAGACCAAACATCACTGCTCCAATGACTCCTGAAGAAGAACAAGCATATGAAGATTTCATTAGAACAGAGAATTATTATTTGGGGTTACTGAATTGGGATGAATTCCCTGATAAACTGAGATTATTTATGGGAAATTTACCTGCCAATACCATATCAAAGCAAGATTTATTTCGTATTTTCAGTCAATATGGAGAAGTTATCCAAATTGCCATCAAGGCCGGTTATGGGTTTGTTCAATTCCGGACAGCAGAAGCATGTTTGGAATGTATAAAGGGTGAAACTGGGGTTCCATTACATAATAAAATTATGAGATTAGATGCATCAAAACCTCAAAAGGCAAGACGTCCAGGGAAACCAGAAATCAATAATCCTAATTTAAGTTCCCGAGGAAGAGAAAGAGCCGTGGCTGATGAAAATAATCAACAACAACCAGCAGCAAAAAGAAGAAAACCAGATAATCTTGATTGTATGGTTTATATTACTGGGAAATCTTCCGTGTTTTTCATTCGAAAAGTGAAGAAAGCATTCGCTCAAGCCCAAATCACAATTGATACCGAAGATGTAACCCATCGTAACATAAATGAAGTCATCAGTGAAGCCGCTTATTCCGGGGTATTAGGATCTTGTGTAATTAAGGAATTAAAAATCGATGTTCAGACATTTGAAAACACTCCAGACGGTGGAATCAAATTTGATGAATATGCCGATATTGAACCTGAAGTCGGGGCAGAATTGTTGGCAAAAGCCAAAATGAAACGATATGGCGGGAATCCACCTCCTTACTATCCTCAAGATACTAGTTATAACGACAATTCAATTCCTCCGGGGTATCAACGACAACTGCAACATCAACATCAGCAACAACCACAACCTCAGCCATATGACCAATACACTGGGTTTGTCCAGGGTAGCGGAAGTGGTTCGGGACCCCACGGTGGTGGTGCAGATGGTGAGCAGGCATCTGCAGCACTGTCCCTGTCCTCCTCTCCATTTGCACCAAGTCCTTTTCCATGAAGGAATGATGGTGGTGCAGGATATGGTGGCGGTGGTAGTGTAGGTGGTGGTGCTGGGGGATATGATAATAACAATAGTGGATACTGGAATCGAGACCAGGCACAACAACAATACGGATCTGTTCCACAATACAATCAATTTGGCATCAATGACGGCAGAGGAGGTCCAGCTCCACCACAAGTGGATCTGTATAGATCTTCTCCACCACAAGGAGCATATGCCCCATATGGTGGTGCACCTCCTCCCCAACAACAGCAACAACCTGTTTTGCAAGATCAAGGAAACTTATTACAGGCCCTACAAGGATTAAACCCTCAACAAGTCCTGTCTATGATTAATGCCTTGCAACAGCAACAGCAACCGCTTCCACAGGCTTATGGACAACCTTCAGGATATGGTGGTGGTAGAGGCAGTGGTGGTGGTGGATATAATCAGCAACAACAACAGCAACAACAACCATACGGAACTGCACCTCCGCTACCATATGGATCTAACAGCTCTTCTAATAGTCAAGTAATACGGAACGAAAGTGTTAACGTCTTAGTCCCTAGCTGACCACCACCACCTATACCTAATCAGTCTTCAAACCAACAACAACAGCAGCAACAGCAATCGAGTACTCAATCGCTTATGGATACATTGGCGAGATTAGCAAGAAAGTAAAAAAAATTTGAGCTTCTATAGATTTATTTTATTATTCTTCTATTTACTTTAATCTACAGAATTTTTTTGAGACTATATTATACAACTACATACTAAATACTAACTTAGTCTACGATATCAGTAGATGGGATCTGACTTTCTTGTTGTTGTTGCTCCTGTACTTGCAGTTGATCCGGAACAACAACTAAAACAACAAGTGATAATATAAGGAAAAAGTTAAGAAGTTTAAGTTGTTCATCTTCCAAATATCCCGAAATTCCAATCACACCACATTCATTAAAAACTTCCAAAATCTGTTCAGCATCTTCAACTTTCAATTTAGCAAATTGCTTATTTACCTCATCCAAAGATTGTGACTTGACAGCTTCCTGAAATTCTTTTGGTAATTTAGTTTTAAAAATCTCATATTCAGTAGTACCTTCTTTCGGAATATTGACAGACAATTGAGTATTTTCATCCAATGCTCGTAATTGAATCAATTCTTCTTGTCCATTTCCTTCCTCTTGTGCATTGGCTGCTTGTTCGGCTATGATTACTTGACATCTACTTTCAATATGTTTGAAAGTATTCTCTACATCTTGTAAAAATCCTTGACGGGCGGGACTTCCCATTTCGGCTACTTTTGAACAAAATAATTTAACGGCACGAATGGTTTGGTCAGTAGTTGGATGTTCTGCACCGGCTAATTGTGAAATATATTGTAATAATAAGGATTGGTGAATGATTTGCTTGCAAAGACTTGAATTGGATTCTAATTGAGCATCGAATGCTGTCATTATTAATGCATCTTTTTGCTGTTCAGTACAGATATAAGGGTGTTTAATAAGATAATCGGCGGATTCGGTGATCTCAGTGTATGGGATTTTTGAGAAGGTTTCTGTGGCTGGCAAGAGTTCTAATTCTTCAAGCATTTCTTGATCTGATTTGGGTTTCTGGGGAGTTGTGGTTGATGGAGCATTGATGGTTTCTGTGGTTGTTACTGTTTTCTTTGTTGATGTACTAGGGGGTGCAACTGGAACTGGTGGTTGTTCTTCAATATCATCTTTCTTATTTAAGAACGATCTATCAAATCCAGTATGAATATCTTCACTACTAATCAACATTGATTTCTGATATAATAACTCATCTAATTTTATAGTTTGTTTAGATAATACATCATCAATTTTATTTCTATGTTCCCTGAGATATTCAATCAATTTATTACCATCAGATTTAGCTTGAGGGTGATCATCTTTGATTTGGATGAATAAATCTTCAATCATTTCATTATAACAAGGAGTATTCTCAACTTCTTCACTATCAAATTGTAAATCTTTTAACCCTTTTCTTAACAGATCTCCTTTTTCATTCTTTAATTTTTCATAATTAAATTTTTCAAATTTATCAAATTGTTCATTTAATTTATTTAAAACAATTTTAGAATCTAATAATTCATTAGCAGTTAAGTTGTTTAGCAAGTAATCAACTCTTTCATTCAATTTAGCATACATTGTCAATTGAATCAATATAGATTTAATTTCAATATTTCTTTGATGACGTTTTTCATGAATATCTTGTTGTTTCCATCTAATGAATGATGCTTTATCAACATTTGGATGAACTTCAATATCTGAATCATCGGAAAGTTCAATCTTATCCCATTTAGAATAATCAATTGGCATTTTATGTCTGTTTTCTTAGTTGTGTTGTATAAAAGCAAGTTTTAGTACTCTTTTAAAGTCAAATCAATATGCAAAAGAATTGAAGAAGAAATTTCTAGAAGCCATTAAGATAAGGTCGTGTAATAGTTACCAAAATCACATTTTCTAGGGTATAACTCGTACTATCTATGGAATGTTATCTAATTACGGTTAGTCTTTGCTACAAGTTGCTTAGTGAATAGTAAACGACCTTTTCTATAAGGCATCAATACTATCAGTGTATTATTCCTGGTTGTTTCAGCGATTACACTATGATATTGGTGGATAATATTTACCTGACAAAATGCACAAACAAAAAAATTCAAAAATTGCTGCAAAAATACATTGTTCATACATACCGCATTTACAAACTGTCAAAACAATACCAAAAATTTAGATATAATGTACTTTCAACCCTTGAAAACATTTAGCAATACTGTGGGTACATACTGATATGTATTAAAACTAGTATAACTTACACCACAAGCCGTTATGATCATAAAGCTTATATGCAGGATTGGCCATTTGTGACGGGTGGAGTGGAGAGTTTCAATAAGCCGAAAGCTACATTGAAAACATCTCAACATGCTATCTTGCCGAAAAGGATGACTGAGTCTTGTTAGACCCCTCTTTTCACAAGATGAAGCACGTTACATGGTGTGATGGTAGTCAGCCACCTTGCACCTATGACACTTCCTTAAACCCCCCAGTCAACCGCTCCAAGGAGCAACTCGTTTTGAAGACAAAGATTGACCAGGTATTGCATTTAGATGGGCATCAACAACTGATACCCATCTGAAGGGATTTGGCTTCGAAAGTGGCCCCCTTCCCAGCTTCAGGCTAGTGAACTTGATTGAAGGTAAATATACATACTATTGTCTTGTCTTTGATTGATATGTGAATGAATGTAGTAGTTAATTAAAGAAGAAGAAGAAGAAGAAGAAGAGAAAGAAGAAAACACAAATAGTTTTTTGTTTTCAGTGGGAATTTATATGATTTTTTTTTGGCTTGTGGACAAATTGCAACAAATTTTGCAATTGTTTTGAAATTGTTGCACGACTAGAAATGTTGCACAAAAATAAAAACTATTAATTAAAATTTTGCAATTGTTTTTGAAAAATTGCACGACTAGAAATGTTGCACAAAGGTCCCTCAAACAGCACATAATTATGAGCCCAATGGCTCTTCTTAATCCGCCATATTAACTTCAAAAGAGAACTTCTAATAGTTACCCTGATATACTGAAGTGGTTGTTACTCCAGAATATGTAATAAGTATCATAATGTAATTATCATTTGTAGGCACCTCTTTTTGTTGGTGCAAAAAAATAATCTAGGGTTGTATAGACTAAATGTTTCTTCTTTGGTAAGGTAGGAGATATGTTAAACCTCTGGTAAGCCCAGAATATTCTAATAGCTGTGTTCTGAACATATTTATGGAGAGTAATAATTGTAGAATAATAATAATAATGAACAAGTAAAGAGTTGAAAGTGTATAAATTGTCTTCTTTTGGTACTGCATATTGACTTTCACCATCCAAAAGAGGCAATTTGTACACGTGATCAAATTTTGACAGAATTTTTCATTTTTTCCGGACAAGGTGTTCTCTTAAATACACGTAATTAATTATGGGGGGTCCAGTCCGAATTGAAAAATAACAATTTACTTGTTTGAACAACCCTGTATTATATATCAAAGCATACAACAAGAAAAAATGAGGGGATTTTTGTTGCAAATCTACTTGGTGATTGCCAGTTTCATCTCAATTGCTTTTGCTGGATTTCGAGATGAACAATTGTTAGATATTATGAAAACCAAAACAAGCGATATAAAAGTTTTACCATTAACTGATGAAAATTATGAAACTGTTTTAAATGGTAAAAGAGATTATCATTTGGTTGTATTATTTACATCCGAAAATAGTAAGATCAATTGTGTCTTATGTAGAGAAATCAATCCTGCTTATGAAATTATTGCTAATTCTTGGTATCAAGATAATCCAGAAGGTATAACTGATTTTGATCCTGAAGATAAAGAGATTGCACCAAAGAATATTTATTTCTTTAGATCTGATTACGATAGTTCTAAAAAGTTATTTGCATTACTTCAATTGAATTCTATTCCTAAGATATTCTATTTCCGTCCAACTAATGCCTTAGGTCCAAACAATTTCCAAAATGAAAAGATTGAATATCAATTCTTCCAAGGCGATCATAGATATTTGATGATAGATTGGTTTTCTCAACTTACTGGACATAAATTCAATTTACATATTCCTGTTGATAAATCCAAAGTTATCATTAATATTGTTTGGGTTCTTTCAACCTTAATTGTAATTAAAAAATTCAATAAGAAGATTATTCAACTTTTAAGATCAAAACTTCCATGGACCATTATCTCCTTGATGGGAATTTTATTATTTGTTACTGGATATATGTTTAACCAAATTAGAGGTTCACCATATGTCATTGAACATCCAGATGGTAGAGTTGAATATTTCTTGGCTGGACAACAAAACCAATTGGGAGTTGAAACTCAAATCATTTCATTCATCTATGGCGCCTTAAGTTTATTGTTTATTATCTTGATTAAAAGAGCTCCTGAAATTAAGAATGATAGTGTTGGATTAATTTTGGTTGGGGTTGTAAGTGCTTTAATCTTTGCTCTTTTCAGTTTATTGTTGTCAATCTATGGATTAAAGGGTCTTGGATTCCCATACAAATTCATCAAATTCTTTTAAATAAAGTTTTTATAGTTAGATTATGAAGTCGTTGAAGTAAATATAGCAAAGTATATATTATTACATTATTCATCCCATTCGTTGTTCAATTCTTTCAACTCTATGTTCCACTTTTTCAAGAGTCTTTATACAAGATTCTAATCTCTTACGTAATTCTTTTATCTTCGTAAACAGTTCTGATAAAGTCTTATCATCAATCTGATTCTTATCAACAGTTTCTTTAAATTCTAATAATTTATTCTCAATGATTCTTAATCTAGCTAATAATACAATTTGTGATTGATTCAACAGTTCAAAGTTTTCATTTAAATTGTCTAATGATCCACTTAATAATGTATGAGCAGCAAGTTCTATTGGATGTAAATCTTCTGCACTCATTCTCTTACTGTTTCCCGAATGCTCTCTACCCTGGGATTTACAAGTCAATTAGAGGGTACAAGTCAATTAAGGTTATTAAAGTTTTTTTCTGGTACGTGAGTGTCAAAGTAATGATGTGTTGTTGTCGCGACTTTGTTGGGAATTAATTGATCACATGATTAATTTATCATTTGCTTAATTGCCCATCAATTTTTTTGGCAACCTGCATGATGTTTGATCTCTTGCTTTCTTTCCCATAGAATTGTATGTGTAAGTTACATTTATAATGAACAAATTACGTAACTTTCCTTATTCATAATAATTAATAAATAACACAACATGAATGGAAATGATCAGGAGGACATTCAAGTCCCAATAGTTGTAACCAAAGATCAATTAAATAGAATGGAAGATAGAATTTTATATCGTCAAGTTAAATCAGTTAAAGCTGGACAAATTGAAAGATTCAAAATAAATTTCACACCTCAATTGAAAGATGATGAAATAATGATACCTCCTACATTATGGCTTAAGATCAAGAATGTAGAACCACTCTCAAAGCGGGCAATTTATCTCGGTATGTATTCCTTTCTTGTTCACATTTCATGTTTCTCATACTAACGATTTTTTTGCAACAGCTGGTCCTTATATTTTATATGTTGATTGTCGACTGCTGGATTATAATCAAAATGATAAATGTTTTATAACTGCAGATCAACCAGTTTATGAACCTCAATTATTAGCAGGTCAATCATTTTATGTTCAATTATCATGCCATACTCTAAAAGAAGATTATTGGTGGACTGTTGATGTCATCTCCCAAATCATATTTAATAATGCTATTTCAATTGATTTTGAAATAATGATAGGTACTTCAAAACAAATATTACATGAATCTTCATTCCCGGAAAGAAGTATTAAGAATTCAGATAAAATTGGTGTTTTCAATCCGTTAATTCATGTTGATAATTGGGATACATATGATCTTTGGAATTTACCTGTTCCCGACCCCGATAAACCTATCCATTTAGTCATTCTAACCCATGGGCTTCATTCAAATACAAGTGCAGATATGTTATATTTAAAGGAACAAGTTGATGCCGTTTCTTCGAAAGATTCTAATGTCGTTGTTAAAGGGTTCTTCGGCAACACCGGAAAGACAGAACGAGGTATCAAATACTTGGGAAGTAGAGTTGCCGAATATATAATCGAATTAGTCAGTGAGAATGAAACATTTAATAATGGGAAAGTTGATCGAATTTCATTTATTGGTCATTCCTTAGGTGGTTGTATTCAAACATTTACAATTGCATATTTAAAAGTTAATTTCCCTTGGTTTTTTGATAAAATAAAGCCCGAGAATTTTATTACTCTAGCATCACCTTTATTAGGAGTAGTGAATGAAAATCCTGTACTTGTAAAGCTTGCATTACTGGCTGGTGTTGTCGGAAAAACAGGACAAGAATTGGGATTAAAAATTATTGAAAATGATTCAAGACCATTATTGTTATTATTACCCTCTGGTCCAACTCATATGGTATTAAAACAATTCAAAAGAAGAACTTTATATGCAAATGCCATAAATGACGGAATTGTTCCGTTAAGAACTTCATGTTTATTATATCTTGATTATAAGGCATTGTCTCAGATTATGAATACTGTGGATGTTTGTGGACCAAATGGTATAACAACAAGAGTTCCAAAAGTTAATGAAGTTCTGCCGGTTCAAACATTTCTCTCTTATTTAATGCCTCAAAAACAAAAACCATCGGAAGGAACATATCATAGGTTTCAAACTAAGAAAGGTGAAGGAGTGGAAGACGAAGATGGGCAAGGAGAATCAGTCGAAGAGAAGGATTTTACTATTGATGAGATCCCTAATTCAACATTTTTTGAGGCAGCCCCGGCATTACTTCTACCACCCTTACCACCAATCAAATATATTGTCGATCCAGGTTCTAGAGAGAATGTTATCTTACATGATAAAATGTATTATGAAAAAGATTTACCTCCAAGAAGACAAAAGAATCCCAACGAACCGCCCACCTCATTGCTCCAAAATACCAACAATACGGGGATTGACGATAGTTATTCAACCACCATCAAGAAGAAATTAATGTTGGAGACAGTAGATTATGCTGCATTTGAAGAAGAGATTGCTAGAGAATATCATAAGAAAATGTCATGGAGAAAAGTAGTTGTTAAATTAAAGCCAGAAGCTCATAATAATATAATAGTTAGAAGAAGGTTTGCTAATGCTTATGGATGGCCAGTGATTCAACATTTGGTGGATAATCATTTTGGGCCAAATGCAGAAATTGATCAAAAAAAATCAATAGAAAGTGCAGATATACCTGCTGACTCATTAGATCAAGATTTAGGGTTATCAAAAGTTGCTTCTCGTGATTATATAGCTAAACAAAATATAGAAATTGAAGAAACAATAACTGAAGAACATTCTTGGATCAATTCGAAAGATGATAGTGATTCATTGTTTGCTCTTGGTGTTACGGGTTTATTAGGAGAAGTTACGGAAAGAGTTGGAGATATTAGAGATCAAATAAATACTTATGGATTAACACAAGTGAATTTCCCATTAATTGGGCTAATTCGACTGCCAATAGAAATTGTTCCTCCTACAAATTATCAACAACAACAACAACATTTGGAGCCAGTTGTAGAGGAAGAATGTGATTTGGGATTAACAAAACTGGGTATTATGGGCAATTTTATATAGATGTATTATAATTAGGTTTTATTCCCTTTATTTATTTATTAATGTACATATGGGTCTTTGGTTGGTGATTTTTCCTTTATATTTATTTACTAATGTACATATGGGTCTTGGGTCGGCGTATATATTCTATTCCTGCATTTCCTCGTCATCTCCTCCTTCCTCTTGGTCTTCTTCTTCCTCTTCCTCCTCTTCTTCATCCTTTTCTATAGGGAATAACTCATCTATTTTTCCGATTATTCGTTCACATGATTCCTCATCGAATCTTTGATCACATTCTTCAACTAAGGAATATAAAGTAACCATAGATCTAGGTAATGTATTTACAATTTGTAATTTTTCAACCTTCATCAATTCAAATTGATTTAAGAAAGTTACCAATTCTTTAAATTGATCATCGGATGTGATAACAGCAGTAGGACTATGACTTATATATGATAATATATCTCTTGTTATTACTTCTAGATTTAATCCACATGCTGTAAATCTATTCTTATTTCTTCTTTTATCTTGTTGTAATTCTTTTTCATCTTCTTCGGAAAAAGTCCAATTATATTTCTTTTTCATTTGTTTTAAATGTTGATCTACTTCATAGTTTGATAAGAAACTATCTCTTTCATTTAGTATTTGCATGTTTTGTTTCTGTTTGAATGTGATTTATAATGATAATTAATGATTACCCACCTAATGGTTTCTATTTTGCAATAGAAAAATATTTCAGAAGATCTTCGCGCATCTTGAATTCTACTTCTTTTTTTTTTTTGCTGTTTTCTCACCTTGTTGGGGGCTTACTATACTGTCGTCAGAACCATAGTTTGGTGATGATTTGGAAAAACTGGTCTAGTGTTAAATAGATATGGTCAGGATGGTGATGCTTGCCAATGATAGCTTTGGACGCATCTACTCGCTTGAGGCTATCATTGGGAAAGGTCATTACACATCTACATAAGACTAGACCGATTTTTCCAAATCATCAACTTGCTGTCGATTTCATCCAGAATTATACTTAAAAGCAGATCAACGACTTAGTTACCAATTTCACTTTTTCCCTAATGACTGGCAACGCTACTGGAGAAAACAGAAAGATATATCCTGGGAAATTAGAAGAGCCACACCGCATCCATTTAGGACACCGCCCCCATCTTGGCTCTATCACCAGCAACCATCCCCGTTCCACATTACTCAAATCGGCACTTGCAACACTGGCTGATTTTCTGTATGTATTGCTGCAGATCTATTGAGTAACAATAGACTGAAGTAAATTTTCAAGCAGAGTGACGCGTATTTAGGTAAATGATTTTACGATAGTATCTTTCGGTTCTCTATTTCCACTTTTGTCATTTATTTCATTTTGTACCTTGGCTCTTCGAAATGACGCGGGGTTTGTTATTACGACTTGATAATACACGTATGAATCAGTTCTTAACACGGTTATCGTTCTAACAAAAAGTAGTGTGTGATATTATTACCTCAATTCAAATTATACCAAAGATACACAAAACTTGACCTTGTTTACTTTCTTTTCAAATCTGGGCTAATGAGCATCGAGATAATTAATTATCCTTTGTTCCTAAAACCCTCGTCTAAAATTTGCATGCAAAACTTCTCCTTAAACCTTAAATATCTCTAAGGGCCATCCGTTTTAACCTATTATGTTTCCTACTCGCATGTACCTTTTATATAAAGATACAACTTTGTTTCAGAACCAGGGTCTTCTGGAGAATCCTATTTATTGTTGACCAATACTTCAAAGTGCATATTACTTTTCACCATCAAAGGCAAAAAAGTATACAAATCACTACTAAAGGCATACAATCAAATCGGCTCCGAAATATATACCACCCGACCATTCATGACAACAAGCAATGAAACAAACTCGGAGTTCGCCGAAGCCCGAGTCCATTCATTCATAGAACTCTACCGATCCCTACCTATAGCCAGTTTCGAATTAAGTGATTCCATATCTTTCCGAATCACATCACATATAAAGAATAAAATATTGGGTATAATGCAAGCAGAATCAGATCAAAGAAGATATCTACTCTTAATGGCCATGGCTCATGTCAAAGAATTTAAACAACTATGGTCAACCTTCCATAATTTGAATCATTTAGTAGAAGGAGATATGCAATATTTATACGAAATTTCAAAATTAGATGTCGCTGTTCCTGAAAGAGTAGACATGTTAATAGCTACTCTAGGTAATGTACATACCAAACATGGAGTAATGGAGGTAATGTGGCCAATGACAACCGCAAAGACCTGTTTGGCCAATGCATTAAAATATGGTTGTTATTATTTTGAGGAACAAGTATTTTCAAAACATTTACCTGATTTTAGTAAAGGATATTGTTCTCAATTGATTTGGAAAGATGATGAAGGATATAATAAATATCAACATTATTGTGATCGATATTTGAATGCCCATGCTGATTTATCAAAAAAGGGTTATAAAGCGATGTTTACTGAAGAATATACTTGTGTATACGAAGCATATTTGGTTCCGAAAGAACAATGGATGACCAAAATGGATGAATATGATGGAAATGATATTGTCATCAAGACTCTAAAGGTATTAGGATTGGAATTATGTAGTTTACACGCGTCTACATTACAAACCATGGCTACTAGAGTATGTCATGTCTATGAAAGATATGAAAAGGATAATTTTAGGATCCCATTATATGTCACCAAGGGACGAAAGACGGGTTGGATTGGACAATTATGTGTTGTGACTCCTAATAAGACTATTAATTTTGCATTTGATTGTACTGGAAGTGATCGAACCATTGGATATATCTTAAAACCTTGTATTTATTATGAAATAAATGATAATACAAAAGCAAATAAATTATTTAGTAAAACAGGAACTGAACAATATGAAGAAAGTATTCTCGAAGGATCTTAATTTATGAAATATATATATATAGACACTTATTTAAATATAATTACAATTAAACTTAATTACATACATCCCCCAAGGTTTACCCCAGTCGTGTAGACGCGTACAAAATTTTATTGTTCTGTTGAAGAAATCAGTTGCTTACTCTGCTTCTTCTCTTGGTTGGTTGTAGGTTGAATGACTAAATTGATATTGGAACCCGGTAGATTAAATATCGAGTTTCCTAATGCATCAGTCTCAAAGGTCTATCGAGTTCGTATAATTGGTCAGGTAATTACATATATACCTGATGAATCAAGTTTAATTCTTGGATCAGTACCAACAATATCATCTGAAGCGACTCAAGAAGAGACATTGAAAATAAATATATTTAATCAATTGGCAAATCTATCGGGCAACGTTCTTAGAAAAGGAGCCATTGTCAGTGTTGAAGGGTTTTATGATGGAAATGATGTTAGTGTGGTTGATATTTATGAAATCAATGGAATGAATCTTTCACATGAGAATATGAAAATGTTGCAAAGTTTAAATCACTTGGAAAGTTTGAATAAATAGATCTCTTTAGCCTTTTTTATTACTAGAAGTCTTTATAGAATAGTGCTACAAGTATTTATAGAAGAGTGTGACCTGTAGTATTGGTATTCGGACTACTACAGTGCACTAACATCTTCATGATTTACAAAGCATATTAAATTAGTTAATATTTAGAATGATACAAAAAAAATACAAAAAAACGACTAAACAAGATTAAAACCATATGTACAAATTACATTTTCAAATTTTTTAAACTAAATGTTGATCTTTAAACAGAATGTTGATCTTGAAGATGCTTAACAGGAGCACTTTCCAAGGAATATTTTCCAATTAGTTTTGGAATAAAAACTTCATATCCAGTTGAAGGAGAATCAAAATTCTGTTTATCTCTTTCAACATGAATAGTAGTCACCAAAGAATCTTCAAAAAGAGGATATTTAACATTTCTTTCATCTGGTTCTCTACCTTCCATAAAGTCAGTAACCACATCGCTATCAAAAACCGGTTGGGGGAATTTTCTCAACGTTTCATCTTTAACAATTGAATCCTTATATTTTGATTGTTTTCCAACGATTAAATCAGCCCAATTTCTCTTATTCAAAAATTGTAAATTTTCTCTCTTTGATCCATCAACATCTCTCAAAAATATTGGCATCATATCTTCATCAGTATCTCTATTATAATGATGAATTTTACTTCTTTTGTTTAATAATTTTGCCATTGGATCAGGTGGTGGGGCATTTGTGATTGCCGAACTAATGACATTAAACATCAATCTTGGATCACATTCAGGGGAATCTAACATTTCTTGATTCAATTCCAGAATAGTACTTCCTTCCAATAATTTATGAGCATGACGATGATGATGGAATTTGGATTTAATTCTTCCAATACAACATAAATGAACATCTCCTGATAAAATCGTAATTCTGACTTCATGCTTAGCTTGGAATTCAATCAAGTCTAATAATAATTTATTTCTTTCCCGTTTATGATGTTTTGCACACCAATGGTCATTTAAATCATCCAATACTTCAATATCTCCATCGAATTCGTTAACTAACCCCTTGTCAAGGACCCCCTTTTGTGCCAATGAACGAACTGGTTTAAACACGGTTGAAGTTAATAACCATTCTAACCAAACCAAACGAGGATATAAGATAGGAACACCCAACATTACCAATAAATGTTTAATATCTTTATTAGCGGTAATTTCTTTATTTAAACGATCAAAAACCCGTTCATATGAAGATGGACTAACAATTTCTCTTAATTTCCGTTCAGTTCTACAATCTAATCCTAACAACGCAATTTCTTTTCCTAATCTAATATAATTAGAATGATTCTTTTCCTTAATATAAGGACCTGGTTGTTTTCCCAATATCCAAGATGGATCACTTTCAGACAATTTTTCCCGAGGGTCAATTTGATGTTGGAATAACATATAATATTTATATGCCAAATTTCCAATTGATTCAAAAACTTCGGAAGACATAGTTGAATTTCCATAAGACCCATATCCATCAATTATATCATGATCATCATAGATATTAACACTAGGAATCTGAGACATTGTCAAGGGGAATAATGCCTCCAAAACCCGCGAATTCTTCCCGACCCAAAACCCTTTCCCGAACCAATTCATATAATGTTCAAGATAATAATGTTCAAATTCTTGAGAAATTTCTTGGGTGACTTTAAATGATGGTTTTTTGAGTGAACTTAATTTCATCCAATCTTGTAATGCTTTTGATTGTAATTTGATTGAATCACAATAGATTTGATCACCACCGCCTAACATGACATGATAATGTTGTTTGGCGTGTCTGTTGAGGACATCTAACCACATGGAGGATTTATATTCACTTGCATCTGATCCTAATGAAAATCCATTACATGAAAATGAAATTACATTCATGGATTCTTCAATTGATGGAATATAAAATTGAAATGATTTTTTAAAATGATGTTCAATATAATATTCAATTTTTTGTTCATATGATTCCATAATTAAATCTATTGAATATCTAAAGAATGAATAATCATTAATTTGGAAATATTTCACACTTTCAAATTCTCCAGTTAAAAACTTTCCATTGGCGATATCTTTTGAACTGGGACCAATTTCATAAGTAATAATAGGAGGCTTTTCAGGACAATTTTTAACAACCAAAGCTAAACTACCACGATAATTGGGTTTACCATCTTCANTTTTCAGGACAATTTTTAACAACCAAAGCTAAACTACCACGATAATTGGGTTTACCATCTTCATGAGTTCCTGATAATTTCAATATTGGACCACATCTAATATCATACTCTTCAATTTTATCTTCTGGATCAATTGGTCTTTCTTTTGGAACATCTTTTCTACTTAATTCATTTATTCTTTTGAAATCATCAATTGGAATTGGATCAAACCAAGTTTCTCTACTTGGACCTTGGGGGGTTGAAGAAGAAGGCATTTATGTCAGAAATAATAAAAATAAGCGAAGGTACTTAAATATCTTCTGGGGAAGATGTAAGTTAAGGTAATTAATTAATTGATTAAATTATGAACCCACAATTCCAATTTATTAGCAGGCGTGGGTGGAGGGGTGGGCCGGTGGGTTTGATGTAATACAAACAAAAAGAAGGGAACAAGCTAAGAAATTTTTATGTTTCTTGTGATGCAAAAAAAACAACTCGTCGTCAATTGAAGGTTTTGATTACCTCTTTGTTTGTTAGTTAGTATTTATTCAGGTGCAACTTGGGAAAGAAGAAGCAAGTGAGAAAGAGAAAAAAATGCATGACATTATTGTTCTTTAATATTTTATGATAATTACAATTGGATTGAATAGAACTACAATTGAAAAATAAATTAACAATTAAAGTTTCAAACGAATAATAAATTTATAAAACAAACAAAAAAATAATCTCAATTGAATGAATTTGATTGGGAGTGAGCTAATGTGGTTGTTTTTTAAGGGGTGTACGGGCATTTCAAGCGACTGAATGAAGGCAATGTAAAAAGATCTAACAATTTATGCAGTCACAGCCTCACGATGCGACAAGCAGTAGGATCTCACGTCTTTTTTATTACGTCATCGATTGAGCTTCAGTAAGTACTGTATATTTTTATAAATTACATGCATTTTAAGTGATAGACTGGCCGATAAATGCGATAAATAAAAATATTGTATTGAATTACAAGACTAAGGGGTTTGGGCTGTGGATTTTCTGAAAATTACGCTTTGTATGCTAAATATAGGGTGTTACAACTTATAGTTTGAGTTAAAAACAGCCGGAAACTTAATAAATCTGGTTTACGTCATTGAATTCTATGAAATTTTTCAGGGGCGCAATTGAGAGCGCAACAACCAAATTACGATGAATGGCTTTTTAATATGATCTAGACGTTGGCTTAAAAGGGTCCATTTAAACAGAAACTTTCCAATATCCCGTAAGCTAAATCGATATCTTCAAAAAAAAGAGACTTGTTTCTATATGTAGAATCCTGTAATACTATCATTCGGTTCTATAGATACATTATATCTCGTAGTGTGGTTGCATCTATGGTATAGATATAATCTCAGGTACAGAGAATCTTTGATATGCCTTAGTCACTTATAGTAATCAAGGAGGAAGGATATTATTTCCATGATTTATCTGATTTGCGTTAACTTCTTTAAAAAGACATTACGGGGAGCATAGCCGCGTTATTCTTTATTGTTTAAAATTATTTCTTGGAAGCAGATTGTTATTATTTCCCCGAATGGATGTACTGGTTGTTCTTATTCCTTACAGAATGTTTAACCGGAAAAGACATCAATTCTCCTTTTCTGGAATAATTACAAAAACTAAGGAAGGGACTAGATTCATTAGTAGAAATGACCTTAATTGGTTTGTTGCACCCGCCTGAGGTATAATTCGATAAATTTTAAGCTTTCTGCAACAGCTGAAGAGAAAAGAATTGATGAGGTGAATACTATGGTAGTAGTAATCTACAACTTACAATTAAAATCTCGGCAACCATCCTGAATCGTAAATTACTTGTTACAACAATCGTAGTTGTCGATGATATTAGCATTGCCACTGACTTGATTTAAATTTTTGATTTCTTGGCATACGTAAGTTTTTCTCTTGGTCGTACATTAAATCTTAAAATAAAACTCTAATAAAATTAATTGCTACGATATGAGTAAACAGTATGAGATTTTTTTTTTGAGTGGTGTAGAAATGATGCAACTAATAAAAAAAGAACGTGGTGGTCGTATAATTCTTTTTTCTTCTTCATTTGAAGCATGTCTGCTTATGTTTACTTTTTGTTTAATAATGAATGATGTCAATTATACTCTCGTTCCATGGTTAATTAATCAAAGCCTTAATAGATTTGATATATAATTTATTGATATGGGTGGCTTCTCTTAGATCACATGATTTATTTTTAATAATGAAAAACAATGAATTAATAAATAAGTAGCCATACCATACAAAGGATATTATTTAATAAAACAATTTCATAATAAATATCTTGGCATTCATTTAAGAGAGTCATGAAATCTTATTTATATACAGTACTCTACTAATCTTATTTAAAATATAAATAAATCATCATATATTCCCAACTTCCCACTCACCAACCCTTAAAATTTTCATTAACCTTATTAAATATTCTTTTTTATATTATAATTTACAATATTATTTGTTATTTGTTATATTAAAACCATCTAACAATCAACATCATTCATATCAAGGAAAAATAAAACATCCGGATAAATCCCGCCCTTAAGATTCCAAGCCTCGGTGCTGACATTTTTCCCCATACTATATTATTTTAATAACCGACTTTTGAACCGACACTTTTATTCAAAACATATATCCTACAAACACATTTATAAATTAGAAGCAGACTTTAAATCTTATGTCAACAATCTTATCAGCTGCTCTGTCTGTGCCGCATCCTACATCTGATAATGCTACTCCTTCGTCTCCTATCAATATAAAAAAGAATGCTAGAAGCGCATCTCCATCAGATGATACTCACCCTGAAATGCGTTCATCACCGTATTCTAGAAGAGTATCTTTTAATAACTTGCATCCTGATGATGACTCTAATGTCCCTCCAAATCAGGCCATTTATAATTTGGGATCCCCTAATTTCACTCCATCTTATTCATTATATTCAGCCCCACAAACATTGGGTTCAGCATCACATTCATCTCAAGTACCAAGTTTTGAATCTACTTTTGGGACTTTAGTAACTAAAGCAAATACTTATATCCCAAGAAAGAGATTGAAATTACCGGATCCTCCTTCAAAATCAATACTTAAAAATAAAGTAAGTGAACAACAATTGGAATATAATGAAAAAAATGATTTACTTCAAGATGAAGGAAATATTGAAGATGCAACTACACATTATCATGATGAAGAAGAAATCTTGGCTGGCCCAGATTTACCTCCTCCTCCCCCAACTGGTATTACTGAAACTCCAAGAAGAAAATCATACGCTGGAATGACAGATGAAGAATTATTAGCATTAGATCCTCAATTTCAAACAAAATCAATTCATGATCTTGATAAATTTAAATTTGATAATCAAAAGACTTATTATTTATCCCCATCTACTAGAAAACCATCTTCAACTCCTAGTCTTCTTTCTCAACCAACTTCTAAAAAAATCATTTATCCTACTTCAAATGAAAATAACTATAGATCAATAAGTTTAACGGTTAAACATGATGAATTTGATACTATACCATATAATAGAACCTTGTTGACTGTCTTGACTGGAAGAAAACATACTTGGAATACTATAGATTGGTTATTATTGATTGAGCAAGATAAGCCTGAAGAAAGTAGTTTTTTAATTGATGGAGATTATTTGATTATTGCATCTTTGATTCCAAATAAGTTCATTAAGGATTATACCAATAGAAGAAAGAAGGTTTCAATATATGATTTCTTACATAAGAAGTGTACCAATTTATTAAATTATGCCGTTGAATATTCCGCTAAATTAAATTTAAAATTGAAAATCACCGTTGAATTCGTGCTTGATAATTCTGAAGAATCAGCCTTAAGTACAGTTAAAGTCATTTACGGTGAAAAATATATGTTACAAAACGTTTTTAGACAATATCAACCAAATATAATCATTGTAGGAAACAAATCATCAAATCTTAATTTCAAATATCCAATCAAAATGGCCCCAAATCATCAACAATATATGATTAAATTATCTTCCTATATTTTAAAATATTCAACTATCCCAGTGATATTTGTTGGTAATGATATCTTATCTCGTCCTGATGCGAAACAACCCAGTACATCCACCTTAAAATTTGAACCTAGTCCTCCACCACCCGCAAATGCTGCCCCGAAAATCTTATTATCCTCCGCCACCCCATCTTCATCAGTCAATGCAGAATTAACACAACCTTCCACATCAACTCCTCAATCCTTATCATCCTCCCCATCAAGAAGTTCATTAGATTCCTCAATTGAATCCTTCTCACCTGAAAGTGAAGAAGATTTAACAAAAAGATTAACTGCAAGTTCCGAAGAATTACGTAGACACACCTATAACAAACAACTAGGTGAAATACATGCAAGGGACTTTAGTGATCCTCAAAAATTCCTTGATTTAATAATCACAATCTCCGATAATTCATTCATTGAATCCAGTAATTACTTAACGGCATTAAATTCAAAAGATTATGCCAATATAAAATTTGACGAAAAGATTCATTCTATATATAGGTCCCAAACCACCCCTGGTGCTATTCATACTTCGAATGATGATGCTCATCATTATGATACTCATCATGGAGGGGCACCGATCTATAAAGTAAGATCAATGATTAGTTATGATGATGATGAAGAAGTGAAGAATGCGAAATTGAGAAAAGATTTAAAGAAGAGAAGAGCAAGTGATAAAGGAAGTGGTGGTGGTGGTAGTAATAGTGGAAGTAGTTCAGGGATTAATTCTACAAAGAGTAATGAATCAAGTATTGGACTGGGAAAATCAAATTCAGAAAAGAAGAAGAAATCATTTTGGAAGAAATTGGGATTTAAGAAGAAGTAAATGAAGTAACAACAAAATAGTTGTTTAATGACCGTGATGAAAAAACAAAAGCGAAATTATTGATTAATTAATTAATTTATTTATATATATACTTACTTAGATACCCTGAGGTAGCATACAATGTAATTTATAGTAATGTATGTGTGTGTTTTGTAGCTACATTTTCTACATCGATAGTTTACTTCGATAGCTCTCGGAACTGCATCCCGATTTAGCTTTTACCAATTTATGCCAATTGATCGTCAATGGCTAATATGCCAGTCTTTGCCCCACTAGCTAAAGCTGATGTCTTCATTCATAAGTTCATGCTATCTATTCTTATACTTTTATCAATCGACCATATTAGGTGAGCTATCAGCATGTCACATCAACAGTGTGGCACCTGGTTACTTCATCAACAACAAGAGGCTTTTCTAGGCATATCCACATTTCTCTACAACCACTATCGCATATACCATTCCCGAGTTCCCGAACATCGGCATCATAGGAATGGCGTCTATGGCAATGAAGGAGGGCTCGGATAAAGACAAGTTAGCTCATTCCTGAATTTTTTTCCAAAACAATAAGATGAGCCTTAGGAAATATACGATAAACAATAGACTATTTAGTTTTAGAAGCCAATATGAGGATTGTATCGTACGTTAACGTTCATGTCGGTTACATTGCTGTAAATTTACCTCTCATGCCTCTTTCGGATATGTAATTGCCGAATGGGATCATCCTAATTCAGTTAGCTTTCCGGTGATATCGAACGATATACTGCAATGCGTGTCCTTATGATACTATCTTACATCCCGTTCCGTGATATTAGGGGAATGCTGTGTAGCTATGGAGTTGAGGAATCCGAAGAGCCACATATATTTATTTTTCAAGCGAACACTCACAGGCGTGGCTGTTCTATTTTAAACATACTTCTTTACAACTAGTTAAAAATTCATGTCCGAATACGGAAACTGCGGTGTAACATTTAGTCTCTTCTCCACTGATAAGATAATGATGTAACAATCTAAGGAAGAGCGAAAAAAATATATTTTTTAAATTTGAAATTTTTATGATAATCAATGAAACATCTCCATTTAAAAGTTCCAGTTGTAACTATAAAAGTCATTAACATCATCTGATTTTGATATCATTCCTTTAACTATTTAAAGTTTGCTACTTAGACTTTATTCAATTTAAGCTTTGATCTTGCAGCTTTTTATCTTTTTCTTACCAATTGCTTATCCTAATCTTCCTTCCCAACCCCCCATATTCCCAACCCCCTTTAAGTCATGTCAGATGAAATTCTTACCAAACTATCTATATTACCTCCAGAAGTCACCCAAATAATAGTAGATTATATTCCAGATCATTCTCAGAAATTCTTACTTGAAATTCCATTTTTCAGGAAATATGTATTACCAAAATTATTTGCAAAAGTAATTGTTGAACGAGATGGATTAGATAAGATTGAAGATCCATTTGTTAGTGAAGACAAGGAATGTGCAGATTATACTCCAATCGCAGAAGAATATGATATGAAGACAATAATCTCATTTCCAAATTCAATATCATTAATAGCTTCAATTGAAAAGTTTCAAATTTTTCCTAAATTCATTCAGTTTAATAATCATTTTGCATTTTTTGAAGTATTACAGAAGTCACCAATAATGATTGAAAAGGCTGAAAATATTAAGATTAGAATGATTAGAATAAATCACGTTGTCCATAGACGAGAAGACAGTTGGTGGCTGTTAATTAATCGAATATCATCATTACCATATAACATCACCATTTTGGAATTATTTGCTGTCCCTATTGATTCAGTTTCATTTTCACCAAATTTGAAAGAATTGATCTATATGGGTAAAATCAGGGATAAGAAACGAGTATTTGAATCACTTGTGAATATAACGCGATTAACTTTGAGAGAGATTCAAATCAATCAAGATGATTTGGAAGCTTTACCTGATAATTTGGAATATTTGAATATGTTCGATTTGAAAATTAATGAAGAAAAATTAAGTCTACCTAAAAATTTACGTGAATTTGTTGTTTCAATCAGTGTTGAATATAGTTTTGAGTATCGAGAATTCTCAATTTCGATGACGGATTTGCTTCAACTTGAACGATTTGAAGTTAATTGTGAAGAATTTAAGACCTTGAGTAACATAAAGCTCCCAATGTCAATCCAAGAATTAGTTTTGAACAAATGTAATAATCTATTCCAATTAGATGGATTAGAGAAATATTGTAATTTACGTAAATTAGAATGGATTGGTGCATTATTATCACCGGGATTTTATTTATTAAATACATTCCCAGAAAATTTAGAATCATTGATTATTGATTGTGATAATTTAAAGAATTCAGAAATTATTGGTGTTTTAGTTCGAAGTATGCCAAGACATTTCTTTAGAACATTTGGAATGTTCACCTTTAGAATTGGTAAAGAATTTAAGTTACCTAAATCCTTGAAAACATTATCAATTAAGAATTGTACTTATATTCAAATTAATTGTCAGGAATTACAATTACCTCCAAATTTGCAATCATTAACTCTATCCAATTTGGCAGGATTTGTAGGATCGTTAGAAAATTTAAAATTACCTCAGCTGATTTCATTCCTTGATTTTAGATCCATGAATATTGAATTCGTTGATCAAGTCACTTTTCCAATTCGGTTAAGAGGGTTATTATTGGATGATAATAGATTAAAGAGACTTGGGTCTACGAATTTACATCAATTGGAATATTTTAGATCGTTGAATTTAACTGGTAATTCATTCAAATCAAGTGATTCCTTCTCATCTAGCTTGCCTTCGAGTATGACATTGATTAGGTTGTGTGATGGATTAAATGAATTGAATATCCTACCCTGCAATAGAATGAAAACGTTGGATATCCCAACTCTGATCAATAGAAGTTCGAAATTGAGGCTTAATGATCATTTGGAAAGTTTGTGGATTGAACATGAATTTGAATTTGATGATCCAGGGTTCAGATTACCTTCAAGGTTAAGAAAAATTAATGCATTTAATTTACCTAGATTGCAAATTGATCAAACCAATTGGTTAGAAAATTTGCCTTCTAATTTACAAATTTTGAGATTAGTTGGAAATCAGAATAATGAAGGACAAATCACCGAAAATATGAAATTGGTAATATTTCCCAATAGTTTAAGATTAATATCTTTGGTTAATCTAAACCTTTCCAATGAAAATTTTCATAAATTCGATTTTTCTAAATGTGATAAACTAACTACATTAGAAATATCAACTGGTCTAACCCCGCAGATAGATTTGAATACATTACCGAATTCTTTGATATATTTAAGATTAGATCATCTCAAGATTAGGAGGTTTATTGGCCTGTTTTATCGATTCCCCAAATTAAGAGAATTATCACTTTCATTCAATCGTTTAACAAATTATCTCCAAACAAATGATTTTGTTGTTCCTCATTCAATCGAAGCCATCCATCTAAGACATTCAAAAGTAAAATCATTCAAGAATTGGAACGTAATGGATTGTAACAAATTAGTCAATGTAGATCTTTCAAGAAATTATTATTTGGATCCAACTCAAATTGCGGTTATTGCAAAAGAATTAAATAAGGTATCGGCCGATTTTGATGGTATTTTAGTTTCTGATATTATTATGAATGAAGAATTGAAAGTAATGCAGAAGAATTCCCCAATTAGGTTCAATTTCCAAGTTGGGAAAAATCAAACTAATGAATATTCATTGATTTATTCTTGTGTTAGTGGCAAGACTGATATTGCCAATGAATCAGATTATTCCGATGAAGAAATGTAGGGTTATTGCTCAACTTGTTGCGGCTCGGTTCAATCGGTTGCAACTTTTTTTTTCGGCTGCAAATTTTGAACTATTGCAGCCATTGTCACTCCTTTTTAGTGTTGTGTTTTTTGATATTTATGATTTGGGTAGTTTAATAGATATATTATGGATATTTTACTGTTGTAATTCTATTGATACTTTACTCTCTGTCTTCTAATGCTTGTAAATGTTGTCTTGTAGTATATTGTGAAGCTATTTATACCAGACAAAATAAAATAATCGTGCGATAAAACCCATTTGAAAAGACAACAAGAAATGAGCCTGTCATTCCTCCAAATGTATTCTAGTAGCAGATTTGACCTTACAAAGAGAAGGTATTCCTGTTGGTGACGATATATTTTGGTAGAATGACAAATGGGACTACTGAACATTAAATCAAGCTGCAAACTACAGGAAGAAAGTTTTACAGGACGTCTCGTCCGTTTGGTAGGATATATCAGGATCCAAACCTGGGTAACCAGGCAATGATTAGCAGCAGAAGTCTCCCTCTCATTATACATAACGACTATAAAAAATTTACATCATTAAGGAGAGTCCTGTTGTCTACTTTTGTTAGGGCAAAATATTGGCTATGTTTTCCACCAGTCTGTTCACAGTCTATCTTGGTTTATTGAAATCTTGAAGATAGTGATGGCTTTTTGACTCTCTTTCTGGAGTCTCCAAATAATATTTCATAATGATTCCTTCTTTAGTTTACTTAAAGGGGAGAAATGTAACTGTTCTGTACGAATGGGGACACTAATTTTTTTATAAAAATTTTACCAAAACTTCCCAAAATTATAAAACACCTTTCCAGTCATTTTTTTAACCAAGCGCTAACTTAAGTCAATAGTCATCAAAAAGAAGAAGATCGTTAAATATTAATCATATTGAGCTCTTAATAATTGGAAGGTTTATGATCAATTTTCAAAATTAGCACGTGATACAAATGCACGTGACTCGATGAAGCGACAGATATTTTTGAAAACAAAACGGGCGTGTGGCGTAGTTGGTAGCGCGTTCGCTTAGCATGCGAAAGGTCTCCGGTTCGACTCCGGACTCGTCCACTTGTTTTTTTGCTTTTTGTATTGGTGATTATCAACTAAGTTCTGGCTTATTATGTGAGAATGAATCAGTTTCGTTCGGAATTCGTTATCAGAGTTACGATAATATAATTTGTGCATGCTTGAGACTGATTAATCCAAGGCTGTTTTTTAGTTGTTTGCTTCTCATTAATATCGAATCGACACAACTACCGATTATCCAATGGAAAAGCTGAGGGTGATAAAGAAACTTGTTTCTATATTTACTCTTGGTAGATTCCTTCAAGGCAGAAGCACTTGAAGAAGATATGTGAATGATATGTGAATGAGCTTAATTTTTGAACTAAAAAGAATTTTGCAGCCATTTGATGGATGGGGAATAACTTCAGAACCCGCAGTGTAATAAAGTATTTAGACAAATAGAAATAGAGCGTTTCGGTCAATTAATGTATCTTTACACATCTGAAAGAATAAGATTAAATGTCAGTTCATGGTCCTACTTTTTGGACCTTGAAAGGGGGATTCAACATCTCTAAAAGTTCTTCTTATTTCTTCCGGAGATTGAAAGCCCCGGGACGTTCCAACTAGACATTAGATTAAACCCTTTACAAGTTCATTGATGGGTTCCGAGATGCTGGTAATTTACAAGGGCAGCCGGAACCGACTCATATGAAATTTTGTACATTTTGGTGGAATAGGAACTTGATTTTAACTTGTCCATTTTGACTAACACATATGCTGGTTTTAATACTGATACAAACGATACATAAGATTCATTTATTGGCATTTAGCTGACGCAAAAGTCTAAGCAAAGTCTTTTCAGGCAAGAAAGACATAAGGCTCCCTATTGAGGAAAAGCGGAGATCAGGCTTGTGCTACGCAGTTATCGAAACGTGGCAAAAGTCATTTTTATTCAAAAACAACCGTACATGTGCCATAGAAGAATGAAAAAGAAATACTAGCCAATCGTGTTGTAAATAAAAGGAGATTGAAATCAATAAGCATTAATTTAATGTCACAAGATTATCGTTGTTAAACAATAAACTGCTTTAGCCACTTAATGACAATGGGTATCGCAATAGTATTTGTCGCTTGAGTTACCTCTGAAACAAAGAACACTCTCAACATTTAGACGAGTGCGTCCACCACAGCCCACGTCTTTCATTTTTTTTTGACGTGGTGAAAGTTAAAAGTTGGCGTAGAGTGAACACGTAAATTTCCTTGGTACATGTTTTGGTTTTTTTATTTTTAAAATTAATTTTTAAATTAGCAGCGAACGTTAGGCACGTTGAACTTCTTTCCTAATTTGACAGGAAAGGAAGAAAAAAGAAGAATCCGTAAATTTCTTTTGTTTTTGAATTCTAAAAATAAAGATTTTTTCATTTCCATTTAAAAAAATAAATTATTATTTTGGAATCTGAAAAAAAAAAAAAAATTAATAAAAATTAATTTTTGGTCATCATTCTCATCGTGAGTTTTTCTTGAATTGCTTTGGATGAGGGCTAATACTTTTAGCCTAGGTTTCAAACGACAGAAGGATTATTAGGCCAATTGGCTATATAACTCAACAATCCACAGGAAACTTGAAAGGGAGATAAGCATGTAGAAAAAAGAAATGTAAGAATCTACATTTATGTAGATCTCATTGCCGTGGACAAATGATGTAATTAATTTACTTTAATTTTAGATGCATCATCACCATCATCAACCATTTTTTTTTTTGTTTTCTTTTTTATTTATTTATAGTCGGTAATTCTTTTAAAAAAAAACCACAAAAATTTATATAAATACAATCACTAATTACTTAAGATTTTAATTTTCCAACTTTTTGTTGATAATTGTCTTACTTTCGTTATATCATTTCATTTCTTCCATTTCAATTAATTTTTAACAATAATTATGATTCCATTACCAACTGATGATAAATCTTTGTTAAAGGAGCATCAATTCTATGCCAAAAAACTGGCATCTAAATCTACAGTTAAAGATGTTTGGACAAAATGCATGGATATCGATCTTACAGAGATATTTAACTTACACAACTTATTGAAACTAATAGTTGTCATATTCGTCTTATCAATATCATTCAGAATTATTAGACTATACCTTAGGCGCAGGGCAAGCAAAGAAAGGGTCAAGCCATTGAGTCCGGTATAACCGTGTGCTGTCGTCACCTATTGAACAGCAATCCATCTATTGCTGAAATTTGCATTCCCCTTTATTGAAAAAGGGCATTTAATTGATCTTATTTAATTCATTCCTTGTCATTCATTTTTTCCATGCATTTTTGTCATACATAATTTTAATTAATATTTATTAAATCGTTACCAACCATTCACACGCATGTACTACACACCTACCTAATTTCGATTCCAATTCCAATTCCACTCCTTAATACGTAAGGGGGAAATGATTCTAATTGCCAATCATCATGTGAATAGTACGATTTGTCCATTCTAGAAGAGAAGTTTACTCATTTTGCAGCTTTTTTTTTTAAATTAGCAAAACAATAAAGGCATTTTTTCCCAGGGGTTCCATAGAATATATTTCCATTGTTTCTTACCAGGGTTACAATATTATTATTTATTAAATTTCATTTACATCCCAAGGTAGTACTTAGTTATCAATTCAGTTGATCCTTATTATTGCTTCACATATTCAACGTATAATTCGGTACCTTCCCCCCTCCTACAGTTTTTTTTTATTTGTTCTTGGTCGTTAGTTTGGCTGGCAACGTTTCCATTCATTTATTTGACATGTAAAGTTATTGTGTGTGTTTTTAGGATTTCATTAGCCTTTCTTTTATAGAAGTTTCTAATTTTATAAATTAATTTCGTCTATATAGTAGTCAGATCTTTTAACCTATGACTGGTCTTATTCTATTTAGGAATCTAAAAATAATCCTGGGGGCCAAAAAAAACGGCACCAGGGGTATAAAGGGCTAAGAAATATCCCACCTCCGTTATTTTATAATCTAATATGAATCTCATCCCTTGATTTCCTCGAGCTATTTTCTCTCGAAACTGGGATGGGATGGGATACCCTATGCCAATATTTTTATGTCTAAACTGCCTCTATCCTTACTAATTCCATGTTTTAAGACTAAACTCGATGCGAAAATATTATCTATATCAATTAACTTGAAATTCTTGGAACTCGTTTGAAAATCGTTTGATTCTGGAATGTCTATTTCGGGGTTGTCACAATCTTTGACATCTCAATATCCCATATATTCCAATCAAACCAAATTATACTTGGAAATATTGTTACCAAATGCCATAAACTATGAGCATCGATTAATCTTGCAATAGGAGGGAAATCTTTTACTTCCAAACTTAAACCACATAGTAAGAACAAATTGTTTGATATTGGAATTAATGGGATTAACTTGGATTTAGCAATCGAAATATAGTTCAATTTGTTAAGAAGTTTCGTTTCAAATGGCAATAATTGAATTGAATTATTATAAACCAAGTAATTTTTATTATACTTTCTTAATGTTGATAATGAATGTAAGATCCATAATACCATTGTGAATATGCCCGTTGCGATATTCGTTTTCATATTGTATGAATAATCCCAATTTGTTAGTAACCTATTGCAATGGTATATAAAAACAATCATCAAAGAAAACCACCAAAGTCTTAATAGACCCAATTTCTTATACAACTCAAAATAGCGAACAAAGATCGCATTCAAATTAACCAACATGATTGCAAAGGCACCAAAATAGTCAAGAGTTTCAGTTTTGGCAGTATCCCTCAAATGGAAAATCGTACTAAAGCCCCATCCAATACAACTAACTCCCAACAATAACAAGTATTGGAAATACATTATTCGATACTCCCCATCACTTTTACGATATTGTCGATGAATCTTGAAAAAATTTCGATAATTAACATAAAAATTACCCAACGAAAATATAGTAGAAAAGAACTCTTGTATGCCAAAAACTTTAACAAATGGCCATTTCCCATAGAATTGAACCACTTCTAGCCCCGAGCGTTCTCTTTGATCTGTAATATATTGTTGACATTGATAGTTACATTGGGCTTCGCAAGACCAAAAGATACCAGGAGAACTGCACGGTGGACACTTTTGCAAACATGCTTGGAATTCAGGTAGGGTATCACCTACGGAGCAAAGAATGGCTGATGCTAGGAATAGAATTAGGATTATGGACTTCATATCATTTCAGGGTCTGGGCTGCCAAAGAAGAAGATATTTCAGACGTAGAAGTCTTCTTGACCAACTTTTTTTTCTTGACCACTTTCGATTTTGTGTAATAATTATAAGATAACCACCACATGGTGCGGATACGCTCCACAAGACATATGTATCTAATCTTTTCAATTACATTAGGGTAGTTGTAGATTGGCTTTGTTGCAATCGTCTAGACGACACCTCACGTGGATTCGAAAAGATTTCGGTTTTGCAACAGTGACAGCAACAACAATCAGAAATGTACAATGTAAGTAATTAAATAATTTATTAAATAGTCTATAAACTTTGTTGATCAAGTTGAATCTTTCTGGCATTATACTCTTTAGCTTGAGAAGTTACGTAGAGAACCATAATCACCCCTATAACTCCAGTCATAACTATGAATAATATATTGACTGGAAAAGGATTCATATCAAAAGTAACATGGGTTATTTCATCAAACCAAGTTTGAGAATAATTAAAAATACCACTAATACAAATAATTGTTCCGTAGACTGTTCCAAATGTTTCAAATCCGAACACTTTTGCACAATAATCCAGTATTGTAGTATAAAAGAATGGTCGAAATGCGACAAAGAGACAAATCCCAAATACAGCCAACGTATAATCTGAAAACAATCCTAATATTCCGATTATCAATGACATAGCAACTAACCAAGTTAAAACCACAACAGTGGAATAATGATCTAAAAATATGCCAATGAATGGAATACTTAAAAGACCTCCTAATGGCAATGCAATATCGAAAAATTTGTTTATCTTCTCCGCCAGCTGAACCGATCCAAACAAGTAATGATACTGGGTTCCAATGGTTGCAACAAAATAATTTAGTCTTAACATTTGAATTATACTAAACAAGCAGATTAAAATAAACCAATATGTTCGGAGTTGATACTGCCAAGAATAACCATGCAATATTCCAAAGATTCCACCTGAATTAACTACCAAAATTTCCTCACCCTCTTCGGCATAGGGTTGCATCAAGGAATCACCGAGAGAATCATGATGTGGCATTGGATTGGACAGGGGCTCCAAGAGTGACGTTATTTCGGAACCGGAAGATGGTGGTGAAATAGCATGACCGACATTTTCTTGGTCATTGATACATAATGTGTTATTTGGACTTGTGTGATATGATTCGGTAGGCATGATAAAGATTTCAAGTATTGTAATGAAGGTAGGTACGATTAAATAAACACCAAAAAATTTCTCCAAAGTAAAGGTTCCTTTTGAGTTGGTATAAATTATTCGATATATTAAGAATATAGCTGAAGATGCATCAAATGCACCTGAAATAAGTGCAAGTATTGTTCCACTTTTCTTTGGAAATGAGTTTGATAACTGGAATGACGATATATAAACAAAGGGTCCACCTAATGCTAATAACCCATATCCAATTAAATAAGGATCAATAAATGTTACTTTCTTAGAAAAGATAAATGAAAAACATGCAAGATAAAGTAACGCTGATCCTATCAAGCCACATACTTTAGGTCCATAAATATCTAAGATTCGACCAATTAACAATGCTGTGACATTTGTAAGCATTGCAGCAACAGTGAACATGAAATTTAATTTTAAATCCTGCTCCATACATTTCGCAACTACTTTATTGTAATTGTTCGAAATGATCATAATATCTGTGCTAGAATTGCTATAACAAACATCTTCATATATTTGTTCATTGATTAAGACAGGCTTCAATGCGGCAAAACCGAATATTGGCCCCCCTGCCAATAAGCACCAAAATATTGCACACCCACATTGAAGCAATCTCTTTGAGGATGGAACTTCGAATGAATGCATGCCAAATACTGGTAGTCTGAGTAGTGGGGGTTCTGTTTCTTGGTCTTGAATTGAGTAAGGATCAAACAGAGAAGATCAAAAGTAATTAATGGGGGTAGCGATCGCTTTGTTGTTGATGTTCTAATATGCAGGAAACAGCATTGGGTCTACTTAAAGAAATAGCACGTGATAATAAAGTCGGGTAATACCCTCCTGAATACTAAACTGAACAACAAAACAAAAGTGGACGACGTCCATAAAATTGAACTATTTATAGTCTTATATAGTTAAGAAAAGTAATTAATACAACAAGTGAATAAGGTTTTATAATATCGATTATACCAGTGAATTATATTAATCACCCATCTCAACTTATTTGTAATGTTTCTGGTCTCGAATTTCAATATAGAGAAATCAAGTTTTTGCTCGGTTGTTTATTTTTAGTTTAGCTTGATTCCAAGTTTACAACTCATCAGAAAATGCAATGACAGTTGAGATCACCAATTCAATTAAACATAAGAGGCTAATGTGAGTTAGTGTAGACTGTTACCGTTGAAGTGAAATATTGATTGGAATTTGACTCAGTTAGGTTTTTTTACATGTATTGGTAAAACAAACTGACAAAAGTTTTAACTGTCACATGTCCCGTTTAGGATTTAACAAATCAGAAAACGCATCGACGATGGGGTTAACAGACCTTCTGAGCTGGTATCTGACTGAGATATGTTAATGCATTGGCAAAATATACTGAACTCTATGAAACACCCTTAGTGGAATTGGATCCGACCTAGATTAGAGGGCAATATTATTGGCAATAAGTTTGTAAAGATGTTTTAGAGATTACTACTGGTAACTACCCAATCAAGACCTCCCCCCCCCATAATTGATTTTAGACGTAGGGTGGAACAAACAAGTTACAGTTTGCATTCCAGTTCTACGCTTCATGCAAGTGATTTTTAATTGATAAAATATTCTTAGGAAAAAAAAAATGGTTGCAACTATTTGGAAGCATAAATTCTCAATTGCGAAAAAACCACAGAAATTATTTATTTGTACTCCTTTCTTCTTCACTTTATTACAAACAAACACATCAAGCAAATATGTTCGCCAGGATCTCAGATAGATTCCGCAAATCCAACGATTCAAAAGCAAAATTGTTGAACTTTAAAGAGTTTGATGAACTCGATAAACCAATAAAGAAACAACACTCCCGTGGATTATTCCACAAACATCAAGCTGGAGCCAGGAAAATCAGTCAAGAACTTCACCAAAACCTCAGGACCACCAAGTTCAATTTATGGACGTTCATCTTCTTCAATTTATTCCGAAGTTGTTCCTGCTAATTCCAACAACCTTTCCCCAGCTACAGAAGAGACTTATATATTGGAAATGACAGAGCTTGTGCATTCAAGAATAATTTGATATCATTCGCAAAGAAATGAGACAGAAACCATTAGAAGAAACATCAAGGGATTTTGAATCCCAATCTGTGACTGCCGCTACAGTTAATACTCCTATTACTCCTATTACTCCTAGAACTACTCAAAAATTTTACATGGATAACAACCACAAAGAAGAAAAGAAAACTAAATTACCAATTAGAGAAAAAATCAGTTCATTCAGAACTGAAACTTACAACATAGCCAACAGACATACATGTATCAAAGTGTTGAGATTCAAACGCAACAAATCCGAGAGTTCTTTCGAAGTCTCGAGAGTCAGGAAACATGTGTTCAAGCCAGGCGATGAAATTGAAAATTATATTGATTTATATGCACGTAAAGAAACTACCCCCCCACCGCTACCTCCTCCAATACAAGGATTTTTGAACGCTGCTGTTGGATCAGTTCCTCCACCACCAGCTCCTCCACCTCCATTGCCTACTGGCCATTGCACCACGGACCAGCTCCTCGACCAGCTCCTCCTCATCGAACGCCACCGTCAACGCCACAGTTTATGGAAAGATCGCAACTGACATCACTGGTTCCACCACCACCTCCTCCACCGCCACCTTCGATGTCTGGATTTTTGAACGCTGCTGCTGGATATTGCCCCAGGTTAAAATGGGAGGGGATTTAACCAAGAGGTTGCTATTTATTTATTCGCTTCTTATAGAGGTTTATACATTTTTAATATTTTTAAACAAAAACTTCCCTTTAGTAAAATTTCATGACTCTGGCTACAATATGGCCACCCGACTCTTGGCAGTTTACTTTGAAATTCTCCTAATTTTTTAAACAGGGTATTGTTTTTCGAGATCAGAAACACTAAAAATTGCCATATACCGATATAGAGGTGATTATGTTACGGTTACGAATTTGATATACAATTAATACAATAAACTTAGAAATAACTATTATGCGTCGAGAGCTGTTGTCTTCTTATCTTCTTCTTCATCTAAAGAACCATAGATAGATTCGGATTCTTGGATTTCAGGTGTTACTGGTCTTTCCAAAGCAGTGAATGGTTTTCCAGTGGCCTTACTAATTAAGTACAATACACTTATTCTTAATCCAGCAGAAGCGAAGGTGATAGCTAAACCACCAAAGGGTGCAATCACAAATGCTCCAAATGCTCCCCAATCTTCTGCACTATAAATACCATTCCAAATCAACAACAATTTACCACCTTCTTTGGCACTTCCATAATAAACTGTACCGAAAATGAAGACACCAAGTAAAGCACCCAATCCACCAGTCATAACATCAAATCCGTTAATATACCAGAAAAGTCTGTCACTTAACCCTAAAAATATTGCTGGAATAATAGCAGCTGACACTAAATCAGCGATCAAATAAATTTGCAAGATGTTATCAGCTACCTTGACTGCTAATACAACAATTGGAACCATAACAAGAATGACCAAGCATCTTGTAATATTTAAATGAAGCTTGTTTCTAAATAAATCATTAGAAATAGTGGACACCATGGCCGATTGTAAGGAATCAAAGGTACATGTAGATAAAACAACACAGAAAATTAATACAAAAGCAACAACCCATCTAGGCATTTTGGCTAATAAGATGAAGAATGCATTATAACCCATTTCGTCTCCCACAGTTAAATCCCCAGACCAAACAGCCAAGAATCCTGGGACACCTACCAAAGTACAAATAACAAAGACAACAGCTGCGGCAATGGAGGTTCCAATCCATAAATCCTTATCAGTCTTAGATGCAAAAGTTCTCAACCAAAATCCTGATAAGAAGCAATCGTTTGTAACAATTGCAACAAATAATATATAAACTAATTGCCAACCTAATTTATTTGCTTTTAACAATCCACTTGGTCCAACTTTAGATGGATCGATTTCAATGTATGATCCCATCCCAGCTGCACAGATTACAATTAAAATCAATACACATGCCCCTTGGAAATTATCAGTAATGAAACTGATTCTGAAACCCCCAAAGAATGTATAAATCGTAGTAACCCCACATTCAACGATAACAGCACCGAGTGCATTCAACCCGGTCAAGGTTTCTATAGCACCTCTAATGGCAGCTAACTCACCTACCATGAATAAAAACATGGTTAAACAAGTAAAGAAGGATAAATACATGGCAGTAACTATTCCAAACCTATGTCTAACCCATTCTGTCAAAATAAAACCTTCAGGGCATTTACGTCTAATGATTGGACCGACAAACGCAAATCCAACAATTGGTATTGCCCCACAGATAGTGTATACTAAGAGACCATGTAATCCGGAAATGTTTGCTATTTGAGCATATGTTGTAAGGATCCCCACACCCATAGCTTTTAAAAATGTTAGTAAATAATTTATTTTTACGAATCTATTTTAACAAACTTTTCCTCACGCAAGTGTTAACTTGATCGAGTTCAAACGGTCTATTCTCAGTCGCCTTTATTTCTAACAAGAAATATAGGGACACCCGCTAGTTTGTGAAATGATTTTCCTAAGAAAATTAATAATACCTAGAATAACAATGTAAGGTAAAAATATGTTAAAAAAATAAAGGATGGTTCCTTTCTGATACTTCTCCCAATATTCAATTGAGGATATTTAATATGACATACCTGAAGCAATAAAATTTAATGCCAATGGAACCCCTCTTTGAGTTCCATTTGATTGTAAAAATTGGGATGAGTTAGCAAATTTCCAAGCTAAAAACAACGCAGTGATTAACATAAATCCATACGTAGTGTAGATAATAGCATTACTCCCTTGTGATGATAATTGAGACATTTTGATAAGCTTCTTCTAATGAATAACCAAGGACTGTAAAAAAAAAAGGAAGAAGAAGAAAGAAAGAAAGTGAATCAAAGATCAATGAGAATTTCAAGATTATTTATAATTAAAGTTTTGCTCATTAACCAAGAAAAAATAAAATTAATTACAATCCTTATTGTCATAAGTGCAACCTAAATTATGCATCTCTAACCGCATACTATTCAGGCTAGTTTTCGTTTATTGCAACGGCCAAGATGTCTCACAAGCATAAATATGCACTTACAATGCTTTAAAGGATATTAATGATTTAGTCTTCGTAAAAGACAAATCGCACTCCCGTTGCAACTATTTCTTTGAAGATGTTTCTTTTTTTTCTTGGTGAATCATTCATAAAGCCGTACATGACTACGGAACAATTAGAAACTAACAACTCCGACTAGAGTAACCTTTCAAATAAAACAAAAAAGATAATATTCAAGTTACTTGATTTGTAAACTGATTCACATCGATCGACTGTTTTTATATAGCGTTACACATTCAAGTAAATAGTTGAAATTAATTAAATTGATTGTTGGAAGAGAAAACTCCGTTTTGAAGAATAAAAAATATTTTCTTGAGATGAATTATGCGCTTACAGGGATAAATCGATTTTTCGTTGCCTTGGCCATTCGAAAATCCGATTTTAAACATCACACCATCGATTCTAGAGATAGGAAAACCTGTGTGTGTGATTTAGGCTCCCTTCCATTTTTGACTGGTCGTAGACGGTTACCAGATAATTATGGAGGGGGGGGGAATATTGGAAGAAATTATTTTTGGATGGACAATACCGTGAGGCAAGAGAAGATGAGATGTCAAAAAAAACAACGTTTCCAGAAATTAAAAAATAAACTAAACTCGAGAAAATATTCATTTAACATTCTGGGCTAAATCAAATTGGCGAAAAACTCTATTTAATGCATTCTTTAGTTTCTAAACCACAAATTGTCTTTCGAGAAACAATAAACAGATTCAAAAAAAAGAAGACGTGCTCCACGGCAGGCTCGAACTGTCGACCTTCAGATTGCACAATTAATTACTTAACTATGAGACTGACGCTCTGCCAACTGAGCTAGTGAAGCGATCTCCGAAATTTTGGAATTTTTTAACACATCAGAAGATCAAGAATATTTGAATCAAAATCGCTCTTTATGCCCCCAAAACGAAATATCCTGAGTCCCAACTTTCTCACACTTAGGTTTATCTTGGATTAGAATCAACATATCTGATTTCCAAGGGAAAAAAGGTGTAATCCATCTTCCATTGAGGTTCGAGAGATTTTGCACCCATCAAAACTGATTTTCTATAAATTCCCACGTTCCATTCCAAACAACACATACTGACCTTCCATTTGTCAAGCTGGGGAATTGGATCTTCTTATTTATACCAATGTAACTGGAAATTTGAAATAAATTTGCAACTACCGACAATTTTTTTGCAGCAATTGGTTTTTCTTTTCGCGAGTATTTCAACGTGTTCTTTATGATGCATTACTAGCTTATGCACAAGGGGATAGCTTATCTATTGTTCTACTATTCCTTTGGTATATATATATATAACGTATAAAAAATTATTAAATGGTGTATTTCCAAATAATTTGTTAGGGAAATGGAGTCACGAAATTTTTTGCAGCCATTTATTGAAAGTTTCCTTCAATGTAGAAAAACAACCTATCAAAAAGACATAATTTATTTCAGTTACTTTGGAGCCTTTTTCCTTCTTTTCAATGAAATTGACTTCAGTACATTTACAGATATTCATTTAAAGTAATTGTCTTGGAGTATTTATACACACGCTCGTAGTATGGTGACATGTCAACTCCATATCAAAAGTCTACCAAGTCCCAACTGTCACATTGCATACTTTTGCTATTTCAAGTAATATCAAGATCCTATATTCTGCCTTTAACCACAAAATACCACTTTCTGATCTTATATATTATTGAATTACGATTCTCACCGATTCCATTCTTTTGTTGTTAGAAAAAGTCACCAACTAGTATACCCAAACCTCATGTGATTCTCTTCTCTCTATTCGACTATATATCCAGTACTTAAATAGCCACAAAGACTTCTGGCGATATTGGCCTTGGGTAAAATTTAATTACCAAACGAGTTGGATAATCAGACCATTTTGTTTCTTTGCTCATTTCGTTGCACATTTTGTAGTCATCTCCAAAAACAAAGTATATAAATTCTATTGAAATTACAGAATAGAACATAGGTCCTGTAACCTTTCTCGGCCAAGCATATGGAAACTAGAGACAGATAAAGCATTTTTCTAGGATATTTCGCATGCTTTAAGTCAGTTGCCGTTCCGGGGGGATAGGGGAGCCCACGAGGCAACTATAACCTAATTCCACTTATATAGCTCCACAATGTGAAGAATCAAATAAACTTTTCAACGAATTAGTCATATTATTTACAACAGAGGGGAAAGGCGAACACTCATTTAAGAAATGCAATTTACAAAGTCTCTCTAAATGGAACCTTGGTTTTGCGAATTACATCGTTTAACTCAGCCACAACCACAACTACTGTTTACTTTTAATCTCCTTTTAGAAGAGTTCGAGAAATTCAGTCAGGAATTGCAAGCCTTACAGCATAATGTTAGGGGTAATTCCCTGGAAACGGGTATTGCCGCGGTTGCAGTTCTTATGAGCGTGATTGTTAATAAATAGAAACAATCTATAAGAACAATCTATAACCATGTCTACAGGGTGGGACACGCACCAATGATGATTTTTAAGTTACCAAAAGTTTAACAATGCACAAACTCCGAATTGCTGATTTCTAATTACATAATTTAGTAGGAATTTGACGACCAAACGTTTTCGACGGGAAATGGTCCGCCTCTATAGGAATTCTTTAGAATATTAGTGAAATTAGACACGGGAACCATGCTGTGACAAATTGTGGAAACTGATTCTTTCCAATTGTTACACGGTGCCAGTACCTCTTTCTCATAGGCACTAAACCCGCCCTGGTCTCGGGTTCTGATCTGGTTGATTATTGCTTGACTGATTGGTCTTGCAGAAGTCACATCAAAGTCATTAAGAAGTTCTCTGGTAATAGATATCCATAAAAGAATGCAAAAGAACACTTGCGGCTTATCTGACGTATCTTCAAATAATGCATTATAAGCCTACATGTATGATTTCCTTCCCCTCGGATTTATAGATTCGGTTTGTTGTTCACCTAATTGATGTCATATATGGGAGCCGAAGAAATAAATGGCATATGAAAAGGCAAACGATGGAAGACTTTTCAAGCATAGCTTATCCGTCCCGTAGCACTGGCAGTTGAATAAAATCAGGCTCGACTGCGCCATAATGGCGCCACCAAAAAAAATCGAAACGTTTAACAATAGGTTCTGTCCCACGTTTTACATTGTTTAGACTAAACCTCGAATTGTACATATCCTCTGGCTAAATCGTTTGTATTTACCAACTGGATTTATTTTCGTCAAAACATTAGGTAAATAGGAAAGAGCACGTCTAAAATCCACGCGAGCCCAATGGATTGACATTTACCTAAGATGAGTTTTGTTTTATGAATGAGCCAATGGCCTGGCTTCAAGGCCCAAATAAATGGCCGCAGAAAGACAGGCGATGACCCGCAGTTGTGATAAGGCCCTCTCGTAATTGTATACAACAAGCCAATCATAATTGGGGACAAATGAAAATTTTATGTACGTTTAAGCCTCAGACGAACGTACACAAACTTTATAAATTTGATTTGATGGTGTGAAGGCTTATAAATAATATCAATCCCAAAACGGTAGACATCGCGAGATTGCAACCCAGACACACAAACAAAAGAGATCAAGAGAAAGAAAATTTAAATTAATTAGTTAATTTAATTGATTGATTTATGCCTGAACGACTCTTAACACAAAGTTTGAACTTGCTTGGCATTTAAGATGAATGATCTGTTCTCTCGCGTAGAAAAATATAATTTAAATTTTTTGTTTTTCTTTGTATGTGAAAAGATTAAAACTTTGATTGATTCTAAAAAAAATATTATTTTTCCAAGTGAAAATTTTTGCATTTAAAAAATAATCACGAAAATAAGATTGTGATATTTTTTATTTGACTCAATTTAGATCTTTAATATGGAAAATATAAAAGAAGAATAAAACTTACCTGGACAACCATTCTTGATTTACCCTCATTTTCTTATACCTCAAAATAAAGGTAATCAAATCAAGTGTTTTGTAGAACTTATATGATGATTGGTTCTTCTAATGTACAATATGACTTCCAAAAATAAAACAATTAAACCCTTTCTCCCCATACAATAAATAAAATACTAAATATAGAACATTAGATTGCGAACAATTGCATATTAAAGTTTTTTGTATTGTTTTATGGTGTTTTTCATTATGTACTGTATTTATTTATATGTACGATCTATAAAATAAAATAATTATTATTTTTATGTAAGGCGTCAGTATTACGAATTATTATTTATTTTTTTTTGTTTACATTTTGTTACTCAAAAAATAAATAAAATAAAATAAGCCAACGTTGACTAATATAAACTAAATTCTTGCATTATTACTATTTCTACTTTTCAAGTATAAAGTGACCACCCCCTCCCCCCCTTTATTTCCCTTTTCTCATGTTCAACTTCTTCTTGGACTTCTTCTTCTTCTCTTTTTCTTGATTAATTTTAAGTGAAATAGACTAAAATAAACAAAAACAAATCTCTCTGTTCGTGTTTATTAAATCAATCCCCCCTCCAACTACTTGCCACTCGTTAAAAATACAACCAAAGTAACTAGATAACTAACTAGCTATCTGCTTTCAACTCATACATTCGTTTATTTTCGTTAGTTTATTTGATTTCATTCGTTTTAAGTCATACACTCATTCATCCGTTCATTCATTTATTAGAAACACTTTATGTTGTCAATTAAGAAATTATTTACAACTGCTGTAGCAGTAGTAAATTTAGTAAGCGCAGCCCAAAATTCCGTTGCAGTCTATTGGGGACAAAATGGATTTGGTCAATCAACCGAGGACGGTGGTCAACAACCTCTTAGATACTATTGTGACAATTCCGATGTCGACATAGTCGTTCTTTCATTTGTTACTGGATTCCCTCAGTTAGTGTTAAATTTTGCAAATCAATGTGGTGACACATTTTCCGATGGTTTATTACATTGTTCCGCCATTGGTGACGATATTGAATACTGTCAAGGTAATGGTAAAAAAGTTCTTTTATCATTAGGTGGTAGTACTGATACCTACGGATTTACTACTGATGAACAAGGTACCGCGTTTGCTCAAGTCTTGTGGGATAAATTTGGTGAAGGAACAGGTGATGATGAAAGACCATTTGATGCTGCAGTTGTTGATGGTTTCGATTTTGATATCGAAGTAGGAACTCAAACTGGTTATGTTGCTTTAGCAACTGCATTAATAGGTTTGTTCGCAACTGGAACCAAACAATACTATTTATCTGCTGCTCCTCAATGCCCAATTCCAGATGCCCATTTAAGTGATTTATTATCTACTGTACCACTTGATTATGTATTCATTCAGTTCTACAATAATTACTGTAATGTTGACACAGCTGACTTTAATATTGATGACTGGCAGACTTTTGCAGAAACTGCCCCTAATTCAAATGTTGAATTGTTTGTCGGTCTTCCTGGTGCCGATGTTCTGAGTATTACTGGATATATTGATGCTGAAGAATTAGCTAGTAACTTGGAATTACTTAGAAGCATGTCAAATTTCGCAGGTGTTTCACTCTGGGATGCATCTTTGGCATGGCCTAATGTTGATACCGAAGGTGATAACTTTGCTGTTCAAGTCAAAAATGTATTAAATGGCGAACCACCATCATCTAGTTCATCAACCGAAGATTCATCTTCTTCCGAAGCTTCATCCACTGAAGATTCATCTTCTTCAGAAGCCTCATCAACCGAAGATTCAAGTTCGTCAGAAGCCTCATCCACTGAAGATTCAAGTTCGTCAGAAGCTTCATCAACCGAAGATTCATCTTCTTCTGAAGCTTCATCAACCGAAGATTCAAGCTCATCAGAAGCTTCATCCACTGAAGATTCATCTTCTTCCGAAGTTTCATCAACCGAAGATTCAAGTTCATCAGAAGCCTCATCAACTGAAGATTCAAGTTCATCAGAAGCTTCATCAACCGAAGATCCAACTTCTACTGAGGAATCAACAACCGAAGATCCAACTTCTACCGGCGAATCAACATCTTCTGAAGATCCAAGTTCTTCTTCCCAATTATCGTCTAACCAAGTGTCGACCACTGAAGATCCTATTTCTAGTGCGGAAACAACTTCGGCTGACCCATCATCAAACTCCTTAGCCGGTTTAGCTGGACCTACTTATTATGGAAACACTTCAACTACTGCCTTCCAAACTGTTGCTGGTGGAGCTGCTGCCTCTTCAAGCGGAGAAAGTTATGTCACTATTTCCGATATCCAAACTACTGTCATTACGATAACTTCTTGTTCCGAAAACAAATGTCATATAACTCCAGTTACTACCGGATATGTCTACTACACTTCAATCGATACTGTATATACTACATACTGTCCTTTGACAGCAAATAATGTAGTTGTCAAGGCTCAATCTACCCAAGCTGCTCCAGGTTATGTGGAGGCTCAATCTTCAAGTGCTAATCAACCACTCGGAACTGTTACTTATGGCGGAGGATCCCAACCAACCGGTGCACAATCTCCATCCAACAACAATGAAGTCTCTCCATCCAACAATAACGGAGTCTCTTCAGGCAATCCTCAAGAGTTAACCAGTAATGGAGGTCTCGTTGCTGTTGCATCCTTTGTTTCCATTGGTTCTTATTCAAGTGCCACTAATTATACCACTTCCACGCCAGTGCCTGTTTTTGAAGGTGCTGCTGTTCAAAATGCGGGTTATATCGCTTGGTTGACCATCCCATTGTTGTTTTTGGCCGCTATTTTTTAAGCAAAACGTTTTATTATTTAGTTTTTTTAGGTTTTAAATACATTTATATATTTATGTAATTAAGTTTATGAAAAAATATCTCTACAGTATCAGAATTCTTCTTGTAAAGTAAGTTTGAAAAGGTTACTTACAATTATAAATTCATACCTTTTTCTCTCAGAATAGTTAGAGAGAGTTGATCACTACAGCTTGATAAACAACGTAAGAGAGTGTTCGACGATTGAAAACAAGCAGTTCCAAAAAATCAAACCTGCAAGGCGTGTTATTCACCAGAAGGTGAGTCTTATATCAACAAAATTGGGAAACTAAAACACTGATCTCTTAAAATATCCACAGCAGAACCGTTGCATATTCAGTCGCATAACGGAGAAATGGCACTTTCCAATTGCAAATATTCACTGAACGGCTGCATTCACTTATAATTCCAGACCATTCCAAAGGCTCGGCTCTTGTTGATCTAAAAATCAATTATCTTATTGGGGAAAAACTCATCTATCAATTCTAAATAATAAGGTTTTAGCTCGTCAATATCATAAGTTTGGTCAACCTTTGAATACAAATCATAACTGTTAAATGCTTGCACAGCCTTTAACATTTCTTTGTCATGTTCATCCATTAGATAACTGTAAGCGTATTCTTGATGCCAGGGGTAAAATGAGTGATATCGTATCATTGCCAATGCTTCTATCGGTAATGTTGAATTGTTCTTGGCAACATGATACATATATTCATCATGTCCCCAACTTAACATAACTTTGTCCAATCCACAGTGTTTTGAATAAATACCATACTTGGTATTATATAAAGGATTCAAGAAATCAGGATTCTTAGCGAAACTATCTGGCAATATAATCCTTTTTGAAAACTTACAACCTACTGGGAAAGTATCTCCAACCACATCCCATTGACCTTTTGAATCAAAAAAATATAACAACTTACCCAAGTCATGAATTAGACCAACTAACTGAAACCATCTTGGTTTCCCATCTCTTCGTATAGCTTCTGCTGTTTGAATTGCATGATCTATTTGGGATAATTCCGTATCGGGATCAGAATCATCCAAAAGTTTATTTAATTTCTCTAGCCCTTCCCAAATTGACATCCTAGCTCTGGTTTTAGTTTTGAAATTTATTCGAGCTTGGATATTATATGCAACCGTTTGTTTTTCATGTTGCTCTTCATAAAATTGTTTAACTCGATCACAAGCTAATTCATATTGACGAAATGCTTTAGTATCTATATTCTTATAGTATTCAGAAGCAATATGCCAGTTTTCTTCAGCCTCGGCAGAAGTATCATGACCATCATCTTTGGAATGAGATGCGATTTCTTCCTCGATTGTATGCTGCTGAGATATTGTGGCTCCCATGGTTTGCCTTATTCGATTTACATTTAAGACATCATCATCTAATTTTTCCAATAGAATCCCTGAAAACTTTCGGTTTTTCTCGATCACGCTATTATGCTCATTCCTATACTCTTTTCGTATTTTCCCCGATTCGCTCTCTTTAGCTCCAGTCATATGTAGTTCTATTGTATATCTTTTGCCTGGAACGAGTTATGTGGGACAGGTATAGTTCGGATTTAAAAAAAAAAATTAAGAATGTAACACTACGACATTTCAAAATTTTGACAATGTCGTTGACAAACGACAAAAACACGTCATGACACGACACAACAATTGAGACACAGCAAGAATAAGGTAAGCTGGATAATAATTCCATATGACTCCCTACTCTTAACCTATGTATCTTAAATGATATTATCAAACTGCTTTATTGAAGATAAAAGTGATACGGCTTCGTTTGTCATAACCATTGTTAGAAATGTATATTTACTAATGGTACTCTGTTACATGTACATTCCCTGTAGCTTCTCCTGAAAGTGGGACCTGATTTCCTTCCTTTGTTGTTGTTGGGTCCGTTAATTTTCATTTATACTGCTTCTATAATCGAAATCTGGATGTGATGATTATTATTACCCTTTTTTATAATTTATAGCTACAATTTATCAGATTCAGTATAACCTTCCAAGTCTTCCAAATTAGGAAAATTGATTAGAAAAATGTCAATTAAGAATGATCTCTTGTTTTATTTTTCTTTGCCTTGTCATTCTGTTTATTTTATTTATCAATTAAATTCAAAACATTTAATAAGGATATTTAAAACCAAAGAGAGACAGAGTAACTGAATTATAAACAGTTGATTTTGAGAGGAAAGACATAATGGGAATAATCGCTTTCTTATTTGTCTATCTATTAGGAGGTGTTACACTCATTCCGGGGATACTTTGCCTCTTGATCTGTTTCCCTCGAAGGAAGGCGAAGCCATTCCATGGATTGCGATCAATTAATAACTTAAAGGCAGGAGAGATAGAAGAAACTAATGACTCAGGATTGGAAACTTATAGATCCGGTTGGATATTTGTCACTCGTGATTATCTAGATTCTGCGGATGAAATCAATTCACAAACTCAATCAATTACGGAATCAAATGATAACAAATCAGCATATAGTTCATTGTATAAATTAGTAAGCAAGGACCAACTGTCTTCAATCAGCAGATCAACTAGCGATATTACTTCTACTTATACCAGTGATATCACCAAAGAAGAACACCCTGAATCTAATCAATCCCAGCACGTTGCAAACCAAGAGAAAATTAGGTCATCACAACGGAAACATCGTTACTTTGCAATGTTAAAACATGGGAATCTATTCTTATACAAAGATGAAACTTTAAAGGATGTCAAACATGTAATTGTTCTTTCAACTTTTTTTGTTACCTTGTGGCCAAGAGGATTGACAGATGCTCAGTTATTCACAAAATATTCAGCCATTGCATTAATAAATGCCCATAAAATGACCACAACTTCCGAATCAGCCCCCAGAGGATCCTTTTTCATTTATTGTGATGTGAATTCAGATAAAGAAGATTGGTATTTTGCCTTGATTAGAGCTACAAAGGTAGAGAAAACCGAACTTCCATCTACATTGAACCCAGCCGTGCATGCAAAGACTTTACACTTTGACACAAAGGATATGATCAATTTAATCCAAACCTTATACAGCTCTGAAGGTCAATTGCAGACAAAATGGTTGAATGCGTTACTTGGAAGGATATTCCTCTCAATGAAGGGAACCAAAAAAATGGAGGACTATATTCATAAGAAGCTAAGTAAAAAATTAGATAAAATCAAGAAGCCAGGGTTCCTTGATAAGTTCCAAATCAGAAGCATATACCCTGGAGATGCTGCACCATTTTTAACCAAACCAAGTTTAAAAGAAATAAATCCTGATGGGACAGTAATATTGTCCGCCTACATTTCATATACTGGAGGATTATCCGTAACTATATCCACGAAAGCAAATATTAATTTAGGGGCAAAATTTACAAAGGGTGAAGTTGATGTAGTCTTGCGTGTAACTCTATGCAGATTCGAAGGACCTGTGTTAGTAAAAATCAAACCACCGCCAACTGGCCGAATTTGGTATAGTTATGAAATTGAACCAACCATGAATATCAAGATTGAACCTGTGATCAGTTCACGACAGATCACTTATAATCTTATTACCAATTATATGGAAAAGAAAATCAAAGAAGCAATTAAAGAGAGTTTGGTGTTACCTAATTGGGATGACATAACCTTCTATGAAACAACTGAAGAATTGTACAGGGCTGGTATATGGGATCCCAACAGGCATGATTTAAATGCTGAATCCAATTCAGGAAGCGTGACGACAAATAGCTCAGGAGCTGAAGATACAGGCAGCACTGATGGTTTCCCTCCCCTAACAGAAGATGACATCGAGGCTAAGTCAGAATTATCTGCAAAGCTTGCCAATTCCAAAACAAAATTAACAAACACGTTAACCGATTTGTCAAATAAAATGAAAAAGAAAAGCACATCTACGCTATCGAATCAAGCTAGTGAACCTGATGGGAAAGCCTTAAGAACCGATGGTGACAGCACCACGAACAATTCTATGGCAATGAATACCCTTAAGAAAATCGGGAAATGGTACTTTAAGGACGACAAAGCAAGAAAGGATGACACATATACCCCACCTGAGATGATACTGAGTCGAAGGCAACCTAGGAGACCTTCAAATGCATCATCAAGTCCCAACAATGAATTTAAGTATCACAAAAATGAGTCTAATTCCTTGCATCCATATAACGAACAAGAGAACAAAGTTCATAAAGTGCCGTCTTACGATTTCGGAAAACTCGATACTGGAGACGACGTGCACTCTCTGATATTTGCATCCCCTATTCATGTTCACCAAGAAGGTATCTCGGTAATGTCCGGCGACGATGCCTCAATAAGAAGTGAATTGTTGGTCAGCGAACCTACGGTTGGATTAACGCAACCCTCAAGGGCAAGAACTATAACGAGAAAACCTCCTCCAAAATCTCCGTTGCTTGAACCCAGTGAAACATTGAAGACAGAAACCGTTGGGGATGACTCAATTGGGAAAGACACCGAAAACCGGGATATGCCAACAACAAAACCACCGTTACCTCCGAGAGAGTCTACCGCACGAACGCCGCCCGCCTTGCCCCCAAGAGAAGTAAATACTTCCACTATGTCATTGAATGGAGAAAATGAAAATGCAGTCTCTGAAGAAGTCTCTATCTCAGGAAAATCAACTGAGGAGATTCACAGTTTGTAGGCACTAAAAATTTTGCGTAAATTGGATAGATATATATACATATATACATAAAACAACATTATATAATTGTAAATCAACTTCTAGATGTATGCAGACCATCCGGCATACATACATGCCAAATTATCAATAGAAGTTGCTTCCTGAATTAACACATCGACTTGACCATGAATATTCATAGGCAATCCCTCCTTTTCATTAATCAAACCTCTTATCTTTCGCCTAACCTTAGACAAATGAACTCCTGGTTTTTGTAAACTCTTCCAATCCAACAACGGATCGTACAATAATGTTTCTAAAATATTCATTAGAGGTTGTTCGTGTTCTCTTAATAAAGTACCAGTCACTTCACATGTAATTCTAAAGCTTCCATCAACTCCACAAATACCCATAGCATCTACCATATTCTGCGTAAGCCTGAATGGAACAATCTCCGGTGTTGGTAGAGTGGCACCTTTCTCAAACAAACAATCAAAATCAATATGTAGTACCGCTCCGCTTCGTTTGAAGAATAGAACATTTTCACAATGTCGATCTCCTAATCCAACTATATATCCAACCATTGACATAACGGCTGCAGTTCGAGTATACAAATTCCTCGCCATATACCACGCGCTTGGGTCAGCAAACTGGTCAATGAACCAACGATGCAAAACTGGAGGATTCGCCTGAACAATTTTGGTAAACAATTTGATTAATTCCTCTGTTGGATTTTTCTGACCTGCTTTTCTTGACGATTTAACTTGTTTCTGAGCTTCGTTTATTTTGTGAAATAACTTATGTTCATGTATCATTTTCCCCATCCTTTTCCTTTGTTCTGATATTATTCCTTTCATGGTTTGGACATCTGCAACGAACTCGATAACCCCTTTGTCTTCAGCCAATGGCATCACAACATAATTAGGAACATATAAGTTCCTCTTCCTGGCCTCGGTGCTATTGCGGAGGATTCTATTTACCATAGTAGTGAACTCCACTACTTTGGCATCCTTACGGGTATCATCTCTTTTCAACATTAATCTATAGGCGCAGCTGTCTGATCCTCGTACTGTAACCTGCCTTGGCATTTGCAAGGAGACGAAAATATTCACATTATCATCAAATCCATCAAAGGTAATCGAAGCTGATTTAGGGAACGCTTGATGATGGACGTCGTTGTTGTTACTGGGTAGTCTGATTTCAAGATTTGACCTCACTGGGATAACTAGAGAATCAAAACTCTTCATCAAATTTAAAACCTTGAAATCCTTTTCTAGTGAGAGGGTTCTAGGTTTCGACGATTTGGAAATCTTGACAGACGCAATGTTAATCAAGGTTGAAAACAATTCTTTTGCATTTTCAATGACGCCGGCCTGGGGAGTACTGGATTCCACAACGTGTCGGAGAATTACATTAATTCTTTCTTTTCTCTTAGAATCATTCGATTTTTCATGTGACAATACATACCACAAAGCATGTTGTGGGTACTCCTTGATAATTTGAATCACAATGGTTGCCAATATTTCATATGAAGCCTGATGCTGGTGAACAATACGTGATAAAATCTGGGTAAATGCAGTATACCAAACATAAGTAGGAATGCTCTTCAATCCAGCCTTAATGTCGTCTATAATCTGATTTCGTTTTCTGTCAGCATCTTTCCCTCTATCTCTCTGCGCAAAATCCAACCATATAGTAATTAACTTAGGTAATGCCTCAAATATAAAGGAGCGGCCAGCAGCAAGGGCTTTGATAAAATGCCTTACGGTTTGTTGCTCATAGCTCCCAGAGGGGTCTTTCGCTGATTCCATGACTTTGCTATAGTACTTTCCTAAATCATAGTATGGCTTTTCCCACAGTATGTCGAGCTGAATTGCTTTATTATATTCTGTGATTATCTGCTGTGCCGATAAATGATTCGATTCGTCTAACCACTGTGCCAATTGAAGCTGGACCCGAGAGTCCCCGTTTCCATTAAGATTATCTTCGATAATAATTTCCGATAATGACTTAATTGCTTCAGATTGTTTTCCTTGTGCCCATAACAACTTCGAATATTCAATATTTGCGCCGGAAGCTTCCAATGACATAGCTTGTACAATTGATTTCGTGGCTATATCTAACCGATTATGCTTTCTTGCAAGGGATGATTCGTATAATAAGTTTTCTGAGATCTTTACATTATCGTTCTTTATTTTGTGACCAGCATTGTGAAATGTCAAAATCTTCCACTGAGCATCAAAGTCTTGATCCACATTACTCAAACGAGCCTTCAAAATTAAGTCTTTCTCCCTTGGCAGATAATTGTCAGATACAATTAACGATAAATCGTGAATTGCGTGCAACTGATTCATTAAAACTATGTTTCTATTAAAATTTGATGATACAGACGGCACCAAAGAATTCCCTATAACACCATAAATATTTCCAAGTGAGTTCTCAAATTCAAGTTTATTTGAATAGTATAGCGATTTTAGACTTTTAGCTAATTCATAAGTCACAAGCGTTCCAACATCAACAGGGTTACCTATTGAATTAGTTACCATTAACCATTTCTCTATTTGAGATATATCCCCTAAGTAGACAGAAGATTTCAAACCAACAAGAGCCCAGTCTAATGGAATTGAAGATAAATCCCTAACATCAATTCTTTCTGACAAAGCTGATAAGACTTCATCATACAATCCATGTTCACTTAATGATTTCAATAATTTGGTATTATTCTCGATTGCCTCCTGCTTATCATTAACGGAACTTAGAGCAATGAACGACTCATGCGCTAAGCTCCAGCTATCACTGTATTGGAAGGTTGACAATTTTTCTTTTAAGTTGTTGGTAGAAAATAATTTTAGTACACCATTCAACGCATCATAATCATTGATATTACAATACATTGATTGCAAAGTAGTTGCAACATTTAAATTATCCAACTTGAATGTGTCACTTACTTTTCCATTTCGATAACATCTTTCCAAATATAAAATTGTTCTTTCATATGAGTCACATTCCGCTGATTTAATAGCAATCAAATCCATTGGGATACATTCTAAGAATTCGTTCACATACTTTATATTCTCTTTTAGACGATTTAGGTGATGTGGCTCTGACGAGTTGTTGGAGAGATACTGAGTGGCAGCAGAAACCCATTCGTTGAAATAGTCCAAAACCATGAAAACAGTATGAATGCAAGATTTCACCAGCTCCATTCTGTCGGATGTCGTTGAACTGAAATCTGTGCTTAACATGTGCAAGAACTCCAGCTTTATATCCTTAATTGCCGATTGATTTCCATTTATTATGTGACTGAGTGCAATGTATTTTAGAATGTATTGACAAATAGATACATCTTGATCCCGAATTAAGTTGGAGCAAGTTTGGAATATCGACTCTTTTGAATTTGACTCGAGTCCATCATCCTCAAAAACAGTTATATATGGTCGTTTGAGTAACTCAAGAGTTATATCAACTAGCCAGGATTCATATTTGATACTCAATTTAAAGTAAGGGAAAGTTAGGGGCTCGTATTTAGGGATTGGTCCAACATATCTGGAAGTTAATAAAGGCGCTAAAGTGGATTTTGCCGTATCGCTAAACCTGTTCCACACAGCAATTGAACCACTGTTCGACTGGATCTTATTTTCTAATACTCTGGAGTCTAAGGTCATAATCTTTAAAAAGTTTTGCATTGCATAAACAGAAAAGAGTTGCCTTGCTGGATCATTAGACGCCCAAAAACCTTTCAATATTTCCCCCTCAATCAAGTCTACTAAAAAGTCAACATTTTCACGAACATTCTTAAAATCATGAATCACAACGATCGAGTGCCTCACTGCTTTGAAATTGAACTTGCTTGAATCCAAACTTCCAATGACTGCCAAAACTTTCGCGCAATCGGTAGATATCTCTATGTTCTTATTTTTAAACTTTGAAGCTATATCTAGAATGGTTCGCACTAGATTTGTGAGCGCTAATGCTAAGCTTGGTTCCTTAAAATACTCCTCTTGACACCTTATTTGGTATTCTTTACAGTAGTTTAATAAATCAAACAATCCTTGTTTCACAACGTATTCATTACTTGTTGATAACCTCCGATTAAATTCTTGAAAAATTGTTAGCCTAGACAACGGTTTTATATTTCTAAAGCGCTTTATTAAATTATACTCCTGAATATATGCCAAGAAGGGAATAGATAAAAAATATAAGGAGAATCGATTGAACTTGTCTTTAATCGCATCATAAATTTTCTTTAGGATCTCAATGGCAATTGATCTCGATTTGGAGCCGAATGTTTGGAATTTTTGAAAAACTAATGAAATTATAATATCAATCAATGAAATTAAGTGGATAGAAGGCAATTCTTGGACTAATGCATTCCAACACCTTAATGCCAAATACTGAAAATCAACAGTCTCCAAACTTGCTTGTAAACAGGTGGAAATCTGACCCAAAGCAGCAGTTACAGCATTGATATTCCTTTGTATTAAAAACTCCATTGCTCTCAAAGATCTGGTCTTCTCTATGAACGGCTTGCTATCTCTTATACGGTGTACACTCTCACTAAACTTCTGAACTAAACCAAGCACATATTCACCTAGGATATATTCAAATCTCATTGGGGACGATATATTCCCTTGTGAAACATTACTTCTTTCTTTGAACGCGATCTTGGAGACAAACTCTAATGCACTCTGTATATTCTGAATGTTCGTAATCTTATTACTATCATCACTGATTTGTATTTGCAAAAGGATATACCAAATGACATCACCAATCTTGGTAAATAAATCTTCTAAGTTTACCAATCGATATTTAGGACAAACATTACTCAATACATTCATTATGTGTCCTTCATTTATTGTCGTATCCTTAACTAAGTAGATTGCAAGTATTCTCGACAAATTCTTGGATACTAAATCCATTTTAGAAGTATTCGATGCGTCAGCTATTTCTTGTATTAAATCATGTTTGTAATATTCCAATAATGTAGGCGTTGTATAATCCTTGGTTCTATTCAAAAAGAACTTCTTCGTTATCCCTAATAGCTCAGTAATCTTAGAGAACATTTGTGGGTTTTTGAGAATGTCCTCCGCCGTGCTCATAATATATGGTGATAGCAACTTGTACGGTGTCAATGATTTTGCTGCTGCTATCTGAATAATCCCATTGTAAACATAATTTACGTGTTGTTCATTTTCCACGCCAAATAAACCTATCAACTTGATAAACAATGCACATAGTTGATCTCCTTGTGTCACAGTAGCTAGTTCGACCAAAGCCTTAATTGTGGATTCACCAAAGTGACGACGACGATGTTCACTAGTAAAATCAATATGACTTATTCTGGAGATAATAATGCTGAATGTTTCCTCTAAAATTTCATCATCTGTAGATTGAATAAGATACAAAGGCAAGATTCTTGTCACTAGCATTCTCGCGTCCCTATTGTTATCAGTTGCTAATACATCAAGAAGGAAATTCAATAGGTGATCATTCTTCGAATTTCCTATTGGCGGGGAATAGCTTGCAAATAAATTGAATACTAACAACAAGAAATTACAACATAACAACTGGTTATTCTTTAAAACTTTCAGCTTCGCCATTAAAAAATACTTGACAACTATCTCCCTATACATGATTGATATTTCACTGATTTCAGATATACTGGGTCTTTTGGGATCAACATTTTCGTAGTAATTCTTGTTTAGTGGATTGCTACCACACTTGATGCACTCATTAACTTGACAATTGTAATCTCCACTAACAATACAGGGGAAATGACTCAAAGAAGAGATTAATGTATGCAATGTGTATTCTGGAGCTAAACATTGATTTTTCAAATCGTCAGTCGTTAGTTTCCTTATGTAATTTATCCACTCAGAATAATTAATATCGTTTCCACTGACATATCCCCCGGAGCTTGAATTATGTGGGAATTTCAAATCTGGTTGGTCAACTATGAAGTCTAATAAATCCAACAGTTGTTTCGTGGACAAGGATTTATCATTCAATTCTTGGATTTCCAATCGAACAGACTCCAATTGAATATCTTGAAATGGTGCTGTTATGAATTCATTTAAATTACTAGTTTGATACTTCAACGTAACCACGCTATCTGATTCATCTAAATTATTATAGTAATTGATTATGTGCAATGATTTCAAAACGGAATTTGGCATACTATTGCTCTCCACGTTGTTCAACCTCTCGATCAACTTGTCGATATTAAAGTGGCTTACAAAGCTCTCGGATATTTCTTTCTGAAGGCATAACTTATATAGCTTTAGTAATGCGATTGAAATTGACTGGTTTAAACTGGTAAGATCTTTATTGTATCTGGACTCAAGGTACTCTAACATCCAATTTAACAACAACGAAATTTGATTCCAAGTTACCAACTTATTCAGAACAAGGTTATTAATTTGATTTAGTACAATAATGGAATTCAAGCTATCAAATAACGGGTATTCAGAAATTGCAAATTCATTGAGAATGAACCAGAATTTTCGGGCAATGCTTTCGAATTTCAATTGATAATTAACTAAATTGATTAGCAATTTTTGTGATAGATCATAATCATTGACAATTGTATATAAGTGTATTCCAATAATCAACCTGTTGTTATAACCTTCTTGTAGTACAGTAGCTGACGATAAATTTTCCAAGCAAAAGGCTAAATGTCCTTCTATCATTTTGAGTAGCTTGTTGCGAATTAATTTAATAAATTTAAAGTTATGTAACTTTGAGCAAATTAGATTGATGACATTAATTACAAATGATTTCAATTGATTAAGGATTTCGATTTTAGTTACAAATTTTGGTAATTCATCAACAACAAATTGAATAGACCAATCAAATAGCATGATCACCGAACCTGGATGAAAATCTTTTGGGACATAAATGGATTTAATTTCATTATAATCGAGCTGAACATTAAGCAAGTGAAGTCGTTTAGTAAGAACAAGTTCTAACGTTTGTAATAGGCGAAATATTAATTTATCATTGGAATCATTATTTGCAATTGCTAATTTATCCTTAGTAAAGCCAAATAGAAATAGTATCAACTTTTTAAAATCTGTCTGTTGATCATCTATGTTAGATTCAACATCATTTAGGAATTGAACTAATTCTGAAGAACTGATTGACGTCATATCATAATATACTTCATCAAGATGAGTTGCTACTTACATGAAGAATTCGAGCTACCTTTTTTTACAACCAGAACGCGTCTCGGAAAATACAAGATCTTGATTACGTAATCTAAGTTTTATTGGTTTATGGAGGTTTCTATTAAATTATACATTATCAACCTATATAAGCCACATTTTCGACATGATCCAGAAGATTCCTGGAATTTCAATGCAATCAATGAGTTTCAAAAGTATTTTATCACCGCTTAGCTGTAAGTCTATAGGAAGATAGTAAGAACAGGTGCCTTTGGAAAAGGTATCATCTTGACAACACCAGACTTTCTCTATTGTCCATAGTTGATAGGTCTTTTGAATAACAAGATATGAGGTTCAGGAGCATGTGTTTCATAATGTACCCAACCTAAACTTTGAGTAATACCTAACCCTCTCCATTCCTCTTCTAATAAAATTCGTAATGTCCCAGTATCTGAATTAAAATAATCTTGGGGAATACATTTTAACATATTTTTAGGTAGCATTACATGCCTATATTCATTGACATCATCATTATATCTTGGACTGTAATGGATCATATCTTGAAATTCTAATACTTTCGCTCTTTCCGAATCGGTTAAGTATCTAGGTTTAGTCATTTCTCCTTATAGTTTGTTTAACTTTTGTTTATTTCAATAAAAAAAATGTAACGGAAGTTTTTGCAGTGATTGACGATAGTTGGTTGTGTTCTATATAATATCTAAATGAAGTAACAGGATGTGTTCCTTATACATATGATGAAGAATAATTTAACTCAAATAAAAATGAACTCAATGGAAGAAAAATAAAAAATCTTTTTTTTTGGCTTCAGTACCACCACCACCATGAACCATCACCAACTCATACCACCATTAACAATCCAGAACAACACTTTTTGTAAATCAGTTCAGTATGAGAATTATAAAAATTGTAAATGCTATTAAATTCAGGTAATACATAGTTTCTGAAAAAGATCCATTAAGTATAACCCTGCTCTGAATGCGTAAATGTAGATTTTCATTCTAGGATTGATTTAATTTTCCTCCTCCCCACGTCTTTTGTATTGTATACATTTACTTGGGGCTAAATTTAAGAACATCTAAACGATTTATATGCAGTAATTAGTATAGTTACAATGTGTAATGAATGTCTTGAATTTGATATTGATTATTTGAGAAAATCTAAAATGATATGCTCCCAAATCTTTGTGTTGTTTTACTTTTGTTAGATTTGTAGTACCTGGGCTTGCGTCTCGCTTGTGTTCTTTTATTATCAAACAGTGAATAAAAATACGGGGTTAACTTAGAACCAGACTGTGGCTACCATATTCCCCCTACAAAAAAAAAGAATCCAACCTTAGAAAAAAAAGGACGTTACATCTCGGTTAAATCACGTTGTCTAGATTCTAGAGCCTCCCCTGTAACCAAGAAGCTGGTTAGTTCATTAGATATGGCACGTCATAATGGTTTGGTAGTATGTGCCTCATCGTTCTCAACTATAGATAAACAATATTCTCAGTTTGAACAGAACTTCAAGTTATTGTATTTGATTAATGATAATCAGGACTTATTTGAAAACTCATTAGATTATCTATTGAATAAAGATCCAAACTGGAATAGATATACAATCATTCAAACACCAACACCCGTGAAAGATCATAAAGTGGAATATGTTTTTGAGTTCCATGAAGTAGTATCAAAACCAGAACTTACAAACAAAGATATCAATTTTTATATGATTATAGATCTGACGATTATAAATTCCATTGAAAATTGGCATAAATTTAATAAATTTAAACGGAAATTTAAGGATTATTCATTAGCTTTAAAATTATCAAATGAAGATGATCAAATAAATAAACAATACTTAGATCTTTGGTTAACTGAAGCGATTTCTTTTATTTATGTTCCTAATAAAATTAAAAGTTTTGAATTCTTTAAAATATTTCAATTCAAAAGTATACCTATCCCATTATTAATAATGGAAAATGCGAAGGATCATGAGCAAGTTTGTTTAATAAAGTCCCAACATAGAGCAAGTCCACAATTTTATTTGAAACCATTACAACCTTTGGTTGAAAACTTGCTGATTGGGATCTATAAGCAATTTGAAAAGGATCAAACCAAATATAACCAATTTGCTGAAGCTTTTGAATTGGCAATAAATGATTTATTACTCAAAAAAATCCCCACAATTAAAATATTGTTAATTGGACCTGGAAATGGTAAACTTTTGACCAAGTTATGGAATATAATCAAAACAAATCTTGATAAATTTGAAATTGATGCAATTGAAAAAAATCCAATATGTATAGGTGATTTGAAGGATAAAAACAAAAAGCTATGGAAAAGTAAGATTCAATTAGTTGAAGATGATTTACGAAATCTACCAGGTTCTGAAGGTGATTATAACCTTGTCATTTCAGAATTATTGGGATCTTTTGGTGATAATGAATTATGTCCTGAGATTCTTGCACAATTCAACCAACCTAAGCCTGATTTAATCATGATACCTGGTGATTATACATCATATCTTCAGCCAATTTTTACTCCGGTCAAATTAAATACAATTGCCTTAATCAAATTGACAAATTATTATCCAAATAGTGATCCTCAACCAGTTTGGGAATGGCAACATCCCGAGCCTCATTTCCAATCCACAAAATCTAAAAAATTAACATTTATTAATAGGTATGGTTATAAAGTCTCTGGGTTTTTAGGTTGGTTCAATTGTACATTATATGGTCATATTAATATTCAAATCCATGATGATCAAGCAAAAGATTATTGTAAATCTTGGTTTCCGATATATTTCCCGGTAAAACCAAAACATGTCAAACCAGGAGACAATTTAGTTGTTGAGTTTCATAGAAAGAAACGTGATGATTTAATTTGGTACGAGTATGAATTCCAAGGAAAATTGTATAATCAGAATGGATGTGACTATTTAATGCATTTATCTTGATAGAATTATATAGACAATTAGAGTTTTTATCTAGTATTGAGGATTCTGTTTTCTATCGTTCCCTGTCCTTTCCCGTGAAGTCTGGCCATGTCTATGCATACTGGAACTATGCATAAGCGGCTGCTCTCTTTCCTTGTCACGATGTGATTTTGAAGTGGATCCATGAGGCTTTGAATGGCTACTCCTATGACTCCTTCGTCCATCTGAACTAGTGTCTCGACTTGACCTATGTCTTCTGTGACGGTCCGAGTGTTCACCTTCGTGCCTTTCTTTTCTGTCTTCTTTATGTGATGAACCATGGGTTGATCGATCACGCGAATGAGAACTTTCGTTATGCTTCTTCCTATGCTTCAATTCTCTGGAATCTGAATCTCCATCTTCATGCTTTCTCTTTAATGTCGACCGTTGTACCTGTTTCTGTTGAAGTTTTATCTTCATTAATGGATCATCTAAGGAATGATTAACATTCTTTGCTTTCACCCCATTTCCCATCCCAATAATTTTATTTATTCTGTCACTTTGAGAATCTTTTACTTTTGTTTTAGCAAATGATTGACTAGCATTTAACATTGTTTCAATTTTCTCCTTTCCTTCATTAAATTCTAAATTACTTTCAATAAATCCACTCTCATTTTTAGTTTCTTCTTCCTCTTGTTGATTTTCAAATGGGACATCATCATACATCCAATTTAACTTAGATAGCTTTAGTTTTTGAGACTTGTTGAGTTCTTCAAGTTTGAAATTATCACCATATTGTAATTTTAATAAATCAATATATTCTTGTTCTGATTTAAATTCTTGATTCAATTCTTTGATTTTTTTAAATTCATCTAACTTTTCTTGTTCTTGTTGCCAAACCTTCTGTTGGTTCTTGACAAGTTGTGGATTCCAGGACTTCTTTAAGTTCAAATCACCTGCCATTATTATTTAAATCTCTCTATGGGGTTTTTACTTTTGATAGATAACAGAAGGATTGTAAAGTGAATAAAAAAATGGCAGCCAAAAAAAAAAATTGGGATGTCATTGCCATTTGGTGTTATACGCTAAATGGATATTTATAAAGAAAGAAAGAGAAAGAGGGATTAAATAGGGAAATAGCATATTGAGCTAATCGTAATCTACGTAAAATCAATTCAAAATTTGTGTATAGATTCAAACAAATAGTAAGAGGTAGCTATTTAAAAGATCTCTTTCTACTTTCCCTTTCTCGAATTGGGTCAAGCAAGCAGAGATTTTTAGTAACAACTGGGGGGGGCTAAACAAAAAAATATAACATAACTATAAAGAGATAAGAAAGAGTTTACTCTCTTGCCTTTTCTCTAAATGATCACAAGTTTTGACTGTATCTTCTTTGCCACAATAAAACAATAGCAACAAGAATATATATCAAATATAATTGGATTTATTTCTAAAGCTTAGAAACCATGGATCTTGATGTTCTTTTTTGGTAATTGTAATTGAGTAGTTAAGAATTCACTAACTTTAACTCTTTGATCCCCTTGTAATTGAATAACTTCACCTAATTCATCATCCTTAACAATATTACCATTACAGGCAAAATCTTTCTTTAAAACTTTTAATATTTTCTTTAAATCATATTCATTTGGAACACCTTGGACAGTAGTTAAAGTCTTTCTACCGTTACGTTGTTGAATACGAATATGGATATAGTTAGTTGGTTGAGCTTCTGAATCACCAGTGTCGGCGAATGGATCAAATGCGGTTAAGTTTTGGATAGTTGACATAAAATGATATAAAAAAAAAACGTTGTTGTTGTTGGTTTATTTCCTTTTTCTTCTTGTTGGTGTTTCCTAAAGGGTTAACTGATGGGTATTACCTGGTTTGGAGGGGTAAGTATTTGGAAGTGAAGTAAAAAAGTTGTTGACTTATTAAAATAGAAAGAAAGAAAGGAGGAGTGTGTTAAAAGTCCCAAAAAAAAAAATTGTTTGGTGAGTGAGTGAGTGAGTGAGAAGAGTGAGAAGATGGGAAGATGGAAGATGCTCATTCTTTTTTTTTTTTTTGGTTTGCTTTTTTTTTAGCTTCCTTATTTTATTTTTAACCATGCCAAAAAAAATATGAAACAAGAAGAAAAATTTCTTTTAACCCAAAAAAAACAATGAAAAAAAAAAAACCGCTCTTGGCACGTGACTATGAATCTTCAATTCAATAGTGATGATGACAATCTTCATCGAATCCCCTATCTCACTTGTTATAAATAGAAGCCAGCTCAAAAGCTTTAATAATTCGACAGTGCACTTCATAGCTAAGAAAAATTTCACCCAGTTGTGAGTAAGCAAGAATGTCAACAATCGTACTTACTTCCATAAATCTATGGTTGCAAAAAATCCCTGTCAGGTTTAGAATTAGCCTCTGAAGGAAATCCTTTTTGTAAACTTCTTTTTGTGCGTTTGCCAATCCCGCAAATAGGTACTTCCATGAGCAGTATTGCAACTTTATGTTAGTCAAATTGATAGATCAGGGCCTACTTCGAATACAGTTCATGGTTCATTTACATTGTTAACATGAAGAAGCTTAACAAAATATGAAATTCAAAAGCTCCCATTGGGGAGGCCCCATAAACTTAGGAAATACAAGAATTCTTTTGTGGTTGTTAGCTTTGTTACAAATTTACAAACCCCTCTTTTCAAATACGCCTTAGTTTTGTTTTGTGTATGAATTTTTTGTGGTTGTGTAACTTATAATAGTACAGTATGTAAAAATTCATTCAAATTTGGTTGCAAATTTTTTGTGGTTGCAAAAAAA